AGTGGCTTTAGTAGAAGGTACGTTTGACCCTCTTAAGACTTTAAGCACACTTTCGTATTGCATTTTGGCTTTCATGCACTTTCTATCACTTGCCCATCACAGAGAAATTACCACAGTATGTTTTAATGGGTGCATAGCTGAGGATGTAGAAATAAAATCACATTAGGTTATTTAAGAAATATTTGTATACTTCTTGGTGTCACTCTTATTACCCAAAGCATTAGATTTCTGTGGAGGTAACCGAGGAGGTGGCGGTCTGGGTGGAACCTGAGATGCAGATTTTGCCGGACTCTCGGATGTTGGGCATCTCTTGATTGTCCCTTGACTATCATTTTCAGAAGAATGAGATTCTTGGGGGATAAAGATGGATTTAGGCTGAAAAAGACACAGCAATAATAAAAGCATAATGAAAAAAAGCTTCAAAGCATCCATGCTACTTCTCAATGAGGAAAAAAAAACAAACCAACCCACAAGCAATATTTGGATCCCAGAATTTTCACAAGTAAATTGATAAAGCAACACGTTCCTCCCTGCAAATCTCTTCCAAAAAACAAACTAGAAGGAAATGCATAGCAATAAGGAAAGCCTTGTTATTGACAAAGGACTAAATCAAAATCATAACATCGAAGTGACACATTAAACAATTATTGGGCATGTGGAAATGTCACTGTTTATGACTACAGAGGACCAAACCAGACGCTGAAGTAGAAAGTAGGGAACATTCAATGATTCGGCCAGAACTTTGTGTAAAGAATCTCAAATAGGGGATGTAACCACAAAGGGCAACATCGTTCAGACACCAGCTGCGCTAATGCTGCTTGTAAAATCCTTTGCAGTTATGCAAAGATAGTTAGTGCAGGAGGGTAAGTAATCAAACCTGCAGTTTTTGCCTGGGGAACTGACAGCCAGACCAAAAAAAAGTAAGGTTTTTTTTTTTCTTTTTCTGTTTGCTCATATTAAGATAACTTCAGCGTGAAAAGATTCACTTACTCTTCAAGCGGCAATATGCAAAAGCCTAATCTGATCCAGGCATGCTTCTGACGACCCCCATTCAGACACCAAAAGTTAGCAAGCAGACACTTTATTTGGCAGCTCTTTATTAAAAACTAAAGGCTACGAACACATAGGCCAACCCCCTGGATACACCCTCGGCTTAAAACCTGATTCAAGTCTTGAAGTCATGGCTCAAGTGAGAGAAACGTCAGTATAGTCATTTAGACACCTCTGCATCTGTTTATTTAAGGTGTCCCATTATTCTGGGGAGCAAAATCCCCCTCACTTACCTTTGGTGGTAAAGGAGGTGGCACTTTAGGTTTCATAGTAGCACTACACAGAAAAGAAACAAACCAGATTGTTACGCAGTGTAGCTCTTTGAACCTCCTATTGCAGTGTTCAAGAGGATACATGATTTTATAAATGCCATACAAACACACACTATTAACTTGTCGACAGCACTATTATATCCAAATAACCGCATGACGAACACGGTCAAACACTGTTATTGCTGTGCGTACCACAGATACCATCCAAAAACAAGTATCACAGATCGTGCCGAGGGAGGGCAAAGTGACATGAACTGATTTAAGACGCTGACACTTGAGCAGAAAAAAGTAGGGAGATGCAGAGCAGGCCTGATATCTACTCTGTTGAGAGGAGAAAAATTTAGGATATCAGTGAGCTTTCCTAAAGGGCCATCTGTAGGTATATAGGGGAAATCAGAGTTACAAGAAAAACTGATGGATACCATTCCTTGAAAGATTTACCACTGACTTCTTCAGAATAGCTTTACACATGAAAGCAAAATCCATCTGCAATGGACGGCTAGCCTACTGTCTGGGTTGGTTTGGTTTGGTTTTTTTCTTCAATGAGCTTCTTTGTTCACAGAAATCTTGGGAAAGATAACTTTTTAATGCAAGAACAATTCAACAGCTTGGGTCAACAGTACCAAGATATCAGCAGGAAACAAGAAAGCCGAAGCATCAGGAGCATTTTTCCTCTGCTGGTTCTCTGTTTTAAAGAACATGTTGCATTTTTTAAAAATCCTAAATACCTCAATTTTTTATGTTTTTAAAAACCTCTTACACTGTCCTGCTTCCTAATCCTTTGGAACAGAAAATTATTTCCATTAAATAAGTCAGGAATACAGCTGCGAAAGCTTGATGTTCTTGCACAGTATTTTCCTTGGTTTTAAATTATGTTTCAAAGTTTGGGGAAAATGTCGAAGTAGTAAGATATCTCTTTGCTTGTTTACAGATCAGCAACTTGTCTGCTTTGCTTCATTTTTTTCAGGAGTTTTTGTCCTGGCATCTTATCAGTTGCTTTGACTTCAGAGAAGCTGGAAGGGCACTTATGCGAATGGGTTACCCTGTGTCATGCACTTCAGCTGCTATGGCAGTGGAAATATCTTCTCTTCATAACATGGGACCAAGCTTAAAACCTCAGTCGTGTGTGTCTGAGCTCCATTTGTAGTTTCATATTCTTCCCTGCCTCTCAGACAGCTGTCACAGCATTACAGGGCAGCCAAATGTAAAAAAGCAAAAAAGGCAAGGATTTGGCATAAATGTGACAGATGGTTGTACACAGGACTGCGTGCCCTAGTTTACATGCAGTTTGTCACCATTGATCACACCAGACAGTGGCCCAGTAATTTCCGCTTTCCCAGCTTCCATGACCAAGAAGTTCAAGCATCATCAGCTTTGCTACACATGAAAGAAAAAGAAATATCAAAAGGATCAAAATTAAATGAAGATAGATAATTCTATTTGTTCCCTGAAGTGTCTGGACTCTCTGCTGCTGTGAATCACCCAGCTTCAGAGTCAAGCAGTGGCATTAGTTTGGACTGGAAGGCGTACAGCTGCTTCATTGTTTTTGTTCTGGATCTGAAGGGAGAAGTGATCAATGTCACATGTGCTCTTCAACTGCAGCTCCATCTCGCAGAATGCAAACAAAACAAAAGCCTTGAATCTTCAGTGGGCTCCAGAGAAAGATGATATAGACTCATAGAAAGGTTTAGGTTGGAAGGGACCTTAAAGATCATCTAGTTCCACCCCACTGCCATGGGCAGGGACACCTCCCACCAGCCCAGGTTGCTCCAAGCCCCGTCCAACCTGGCCTTGAACCCCTCCAGGGATGGGGCAGCCACAGCTTCTCTGGGCAACCTGCCCCAGGGGCTCACCACCCGCACAGGGAAAAGTTTCTTCCTGATATCCAATCTAAATCTCCCCTCTTCCAGTCTGAAGCCATTCCCCCTTGTCCTATCACTCCATGCCCTTGTAAAAAGTCCCTCTCCACCTTTCTTGCAGGCCCCCTTCAGATACTGGAAGGGGCTATAAGGCCTCCCCAGAGCCTTCTCTTCTCAAGGCTGAACAATCCCAGCCCTCCCAGTCTGTCTTCATAGGAGAGGTGCTCCAGCCCTCTGAGCATCTTCATGGCCTCCTCTGGACCCGCTCCAACAGGGCCATGTCCTTCTTATGCTGGTAGCTCCAGAGCTGGATGCAGTATTCTAAGTGGGGTCCCCCAGAGTGCAGCAGAGGGGCAGAATCCCCCCCCTCGCCCTGCTGGCCACCCTGCTTTTACTGCAGCCCAGGATGCGGCTCGCCTTCTGGGCTGCGAGTGCACATTGCCGGCTCATGTTGAGCTTCTCAAGAGAAGCTCATGAAGATATCCGAGACCGAGCTAATGAACCAACAGCAGAGCTTTGGGCTCAAGCGGATCCCAAGGGAAAAGGCACAGATGCAGAAGCTCTCTGATCCAAGGTTGCAGCATTCAAGGCTTTCCCCTGTGCTGACAGGACATTGTCAGGCCCTCTCTGTAGGGCAAGAGTACCTAGGATGAAATACGGGAAGAAGCAAAAACCGCCAGGACTTTTTTGGAAGACCATTGGTGACTGTCCTTAGGGTCATATGAATTGGAACCTCTGCGGAAGCTATCAGGTTCTTTCTTGCTTAACCTGAAAGAGAAAATCTACAGAATCGCAACAGAAGCAGCTAAAGCCAATGCTGTCTGAAAGTTCTGATGAGATTTGTGAAAGGAACGAGGGTCCCAAAGCACTGGACAAAGAAATCAGTGCAAGCACTTCAAGACAGCGGGGATCAAGAGGTTCCAAAACCTGGAACATTACTGAAGTTGATGATACTGGCCACAAACAAAGCAAGAAGTAGGGGAAGGGGGGAAAAAAAAACAAACCCAAAAGAAAACATTAAGCAAAAAAGAACATACACAGAGCTGTGCACAAACATCCAGAGATTAGTATTGAGGGAGGAACCAAGCTGAGCTGGCTTGCAGCAGCACAGGTACGCAGAGCACGTTCACTGCAGGCCATCGGAGTGGAGCTACAGGGGACGATACATCCTACAGCGCAGGAAGCCTGAGTTACCATTGCCAAGGTCTACCCAGCTACGAGCAAAGCGGGTTCTCAGCTTGGTCCAAATGCAGGGGAGCAAATCAAAGAGGAGCATTATCAACCTCCTCCTCTTAAAGACAAGGCACAGGAGCTTCATATGATTGAACTGCATAATCAATCATGCCCCTAAACAACCACTTAATAATGAAATATAAAGAATTTCTTAAGGAATTAGCAAGGGAATAAAAGCCTGCTAAAAACTAACTAAAATAATTTTTCTTCTATACATCTCACTTGTGTCAAACAGCAAACATACTTGTATTTCAAGGAGTTGATCATTAAACAATGCAAGTTTAATGGACTTGTCACCTAGCTGACATCACACTATCAGTAGCTTTACCCCTCTTGAAGGGGGCTGTCCCTCATGCTCAGTACAGCAATAAAAATCTTTGTTATAAAAGAACAGCAGTAAAATAACTCAAGATAAAAAGAGAGGCATATTTGGTTCTCTGTAAGAGATAGATGCCAGCAGTAGATAATACATGTTTTACAGGTTTCTGGTATGAAGCAACAGCTTTCAAAATTATCCATTAACAGAAAGCAAACAAGAATTCTGTCTCAATGGCATCTTTCCTTTTTGGTTTTACATCAGATTTATTTAGGAATGCAAGTTTTGACATACTGGCTGTGCATTTTAAATTGCTTCATTTCTCATCTGTCAATCAAAGAGGGCCCAGGAATACGTATACCAGTGGAATTTAATATGAGCATAATGATTTTAACACATGCCTATTGGTACTGCCTCTGCAGTCACGTAACCTTGCTCTGTCCGTGGTAAGGGAGCCAGCTCTGTTCTAAAATCAGGCACCCATACAAGCATCCTCCTAGCTAAGGATGTGGACAGAATAAACTCAATCATCTAGAGAGACAATTAGGTATATATTTTACGTATTTTTAATGAGCTTTATTTTTGTATACAGTCATCAGTTCTAAAGAAGACAGCAGGACCAGGGTCAGACAAATTACTGGCTCCACATAATGATGAAAAGATTTTGTTCAATAATAGAAGATAAAAGGACAACTGTACCCAGCAAAGGACAAGATTTCCCCCCCCCCCTAATTCATCACAAGTTTATAATCAGAATAAGAAAAATTCTGGTGATGTAATCTAAGAACAATATTAAATGCCTACCTTTAAAAATGCTACAGAAGAATCCCACACTATTAGGGATAGAACACGATTGAACTTTTTTTAAAATTTTCACCTAGTCAAGAAACAGCTTTTATATATTTATTTTTACAAGAAGAAAGGACTTACTGTTTAGCATCATCGTCTGCATCATCATCATCTTCTAAATGTGCCACGTGTCCCCTAAGAAAATGAACAAAGTACTATGGCTGAGTGAGTTGTATTAAAATTAGCTTGGCTACTGTGAAAAATTCTGAGCTCAAGGGCTACTACCTCTTTTACAGAATTTTACTGTCTTTTAGATTTTTAAGATTATTATTATTCCTTAAAGCACAGCTGCAATCCAGACAACTAAGCCTCTCCCATATCCTCTCAGCAAGTACAGGGACAAACAAGAACTAGTTGTGACAGACATAAGAAATCAACACACAAATGACTTTGAAACACACAAGATGGGGAAAAAAAAAAAAAAGAATAGAATTACCGCTGATGCAGTTCTTCTTCAACTGATTTTAAGAGACTCCTTCAGCATTAAATAAGAATAAGAACACAGTTTAATTGTGGCACACAAACTTAATTATCAAAAGCCAGGGCAAATGTTCCTATGATTCTATCAGTAAATAATCCAAAGCATGTTGTTTCAGCTGGCTTTCAGAACATACATCAAACATCCACGTACAAATGAACATAGCTGCATTTTTTTTATTTTCTATTTCTTACACAACACACTTTCATATGTGTTTATTAATGCATTGCTATTAAGTGCAGTGGTCCTTGATCCTTGTATTCTAAAACAAGGACTGTCTTAGCTTGATCCAATTTAAAACAAATCCACATTATCCGAGAAAATAATAATAATTTAAAAAATAATAAATCAGACTGACAGGAGGACTAAACTACTATTGGAATAAATTCATTCTTCCCCAGTTAATCTTTGTATCATTCTTAACTTCTTAATTTTTCTGTCTTTGTCTGAGAACACAAAGGAAGGAATAGCAGGCAAAACACAGGGATGAAAAACAACAGGATTTTGAAAGATATCAGTATTTGTATTTTCCCCAAGTAAAAGACTATAAAAATATGTTCTATGCTTAGATTTTCTGCATTTTTAAAGTATGATTTAATTTAGCAAAGCAAAGCTGGGCATCCTAATTCTGACATGCATAAATGTAAATTAAGAAATTGGGTGGAAAGGAAGAATTACATGGAAAACTATTTCATATGATTAATACAACAAAATTATTAAATATATGAACATGAAGTTAAAGGACTTTGCTGAGATATGCAAGTTTTACTTTTCAAAGCATCTATAATTGAATGTTCCTAGTGCCCTACAACATGAAGCAGGGCATGAACCAATGTCAAAGAGCAGCACTGATAGTTCCTACACGGGGTAAAATTGTGCTCTGTGGGACCCATCACGCAGAAGATTTTGTTAAAAAGCAGGCCAAGATAACAGCTCTTAAAAAGCAGCTTACAGCACCATAGAGAAAATAGGGTCAACACAGCCTCAGATACTGAAAAGTGCTGTAATTCTTTATCATTGGAATTACTATTACTTTAGAAATAGCGATTTTGAAAATGTAACTGATATAAACAAGCTTGACATGTTTTGCTACATCTGTTTCAGCTAAAGTGTTTAATACATGTTTGTGATTTTTATATCAAAATAGCCTTGAATGAATTAAAGACAGAAAACGCTGTTGCTTACTCACTTATTCGCACCCAAGAAGTAGCCACACTGAGGACCATGACCATATTCTAGCTGTAGGTCCTACAAAAACAAGAGAACGAATCTTTAAGACGAACACACGAGCATCAACAACATACCCCGTGTCATGCTGCTGTTAGCCCCCCTGCAGCACCTGAGCTACCAAACACGCTCATTCCTCTGGCCCTCCTGCCCCTAACACCACTTTCAGGCCAATCGCACCCCCCCAAAAAAAAATATCTCCGCCAGTTTGCTGCATCTCTAATTCCTTTTAAAACTCTGACCTTAGCCCCTTCATCGGACACACAGATCCTTTGCTCAAATAAAGTCAGCTGCAGAAAAGGAAACAAAGCAAAAATAATAATAATAACAAATAAAAAAAAAAGAATAATAAAAAAAAAAGGACACTGTGATCTACCAGACCCTGTAGAGAACCCTCCCATCCCTCACTGGTACATTATAGTACTTGTTTCAGATGGGGAGTAGTTCTGGCAGGGAGCCTGAAATGCCTTTAGCACACTGGGACATTAAAGAAATGAGCTGAGAAGACAGTAAAAGCGTTTTTATATCTCTGGTAATAGCAACACATATTTTAAGGATAACTATGTACGTTAGCATGTATACTTTAAGATCACCTTTTGTCCCAAAAATAAAAACACAATAGTAACAGCAAAGTCAAGCGCTCAAGCAATCACGGAGCACGGGCCCCTTAGAAAAGGAACTGGCAATATGCCTCCAACGCTATTATTCAACGGACGCCATACGGCATACAAATTTAATGCATTAATGGGAATACAGGGACCGTATTGAAGCACCATCAGATCCGCATCTGGCGGGAGTATACTGCTATAATTACAGGGTATTTTTTTCTTCAGGTGGATCACAACAGGAAAAATTTGATCATAAATTTGCTCCCCAAATACTGAGCGGATTCACCAGGAGGAATGAGTTATCGATCACTTAAGTTTGTGATAAATGGAGCTACGTTGCTCCTTTCCAGGAAACATTTTAAAGGTCTCCCAACATCTTCTGTCGAACAGGCCCCTTTCAGCTGCAGCCCGTATCAAAAGCATGCTATCCTTCAGAAAGATGCCCAGATATCCAAGCTACAATGGCAATAAGCTTGGACTAGATGACTACAACTCATGGGGCTGATCTCTCAAAAGGCCATTTTTAAAAAACAGAGGAAAAGCCTTACACTAGATTTGCCAGGGCTCCAAGCTGATGGATGAAGCAGAAGCCACTGCAGCTTTCAGTTCTAGCCTGAAGGGCCACCACCTTAATACAAACCTACGTTTATTGTGTTCTGCTCGGCGAGGAGTTCCAGGTGGTCTACTGCACCCTCAGTTCTGCTCTGTAAAGCTAAGTAGTAGTTTCCCCATGGGTGTTTCTACCACAGCTGTCAGTAGCATTTGATTGCTTCAGTAACTTCCCATATTTTCCCAAGAGAAGTGACATATTGTGGAAAAAACAGTAAAATTGAATAAAAAGGTTGAATAAAAAGGCAGAGGCAAGCCAGATGCTGGCATTTCCTGAACCACAGAGAGATTGACTTTTCAACCTTCATACCAACTTCATTACACATCTTTTTTTTCTAGAATTAAACTAAGAAACCCCAAAACCACCAAATCCCATCCATTTCTATGGATCTGACTGACAAGGGCCACCTGACTTTCCCCCTAGATATCTGTCAGTGGAGTTAGAAAGTCAAGTGGCGGGAAAGAATGGCTCCCAAGTGGCCGCGCCGGCAGGAAAGAAGGCTTGCCCCTCTCCAGGAACGTGTCCCGGGCTCTGCAATACACATCTTGGAAGAGGTCAGGCCTCGGTGGTGGGCGTCTTTGATCCCTTCTGCTGTCCTTACTCTCCTTCTTCACAGGTTCATCCTCCTCCTACGCCCCAATCTCAACTCCTCCCGCTCCTTGCTCCAAACAAGCTCAGCAAGCCTCCTTCCCTCAAGAAAGGCCATCCCAGACCCTCCCCAATTTCAGTCTCTTCCCAATATGTGTCATTTTATCCAGGCAATTCCTTTCTGCTGGTCCTCACCACCAACTGATGTACTCCAATCCACCACAAAGAAACACACATTTAACTTCCTTTGCTTTGAGTACTTATATTACCTTCTATGCAGTCTCAAAAACTTCCACAGGTAAGCACAGGTATTTTGAGGATTCAGGCTATAGAGCAGAAAATAACAAGACTGGAAATATAAGATGTCACCAGACTCACAAACAAGGAGGTTAAACAGGTTGTGTGAGTCTATGTGAGAGGATGCCAGAATAGAGACTGGGAGGCTGTTGAGAAAAACAACCCCAGATCAGTATAATGAAAGCTGAGATTTTCACCTTGAAGTGACAAGTGCTTTGTCTACATGTTGCAAAATTACATTTAATGAAAAGTGGGAAACCAAGATCTTATGACAGGCAGAGCCAAAACATCTCTCCATTTTAATTTACACACTGTGCAATGTATAGCTATATATATCAGACAGCAATTACAGGAAAATTAATAAGAGAAAATAAGCAAACCTCCACAAAACATAAGGAGCCTTCATCTGCCACCAGACTTTTTAAGCTCTACTAGAATTTTCTTTATGAAAAATGACATCTGCCAAAATTACTTAGGTTTAAATGCTTTAAAAGGACACAATCATAGCACGGTTTAGGTTGGAAAGGACCTTAAAGACTATTGCTTTCCAAACCTCCTGCCATAGGCAGGGACACCTCCCACCAGCCCAGGTTGCTCCAAGCCCCGTCCAACCTGGCCTTGAACACCTCCAGGGATGGGGCAGCCACAGCTTCTCGGGGCAAAAGCTTTGTTTTGATACTGTCTCCCATAACATCCTCATAGGTAATCTTAGGAAGTGTGGGTTAGATGAATGGACAGTGAGGTGGATGGAGAACTGGCTGAGTGGCAGAGCTCAGAGGGTTGTGACCAGCGGCACAGAGTCCCATTGGAGGCCTGTAACTAGCCGTGTTCCCCAGGGGTCAGTACTGGGCCCAGTCTTGTTCACCACATTCATCAACAACCTGGACGAGGGGACAGAGTGTACCCTCAGCAAGTTTGCTCGTGACACAAAACTGGGAGGAGCGTAGTACACACCAGAAGGCTGTGCCACCATTCAGCGAGACCTGGACAGGCTGGAGAGTGGGGCGGAGAGGAACCTAATGAACTTCAACACGGGCAAGTGTAGGGTTCTGCACCTAAGGAGGAACAACCCCATGCACTGGTACAGGTTAGGGGCTGACCTGCTGGAGAGCAGCTCTGTGGAAAGGGACCTGGGAGTCCTGGGGGACAAGTTGGCCATGAGCCAGCAACGTGCCCTGGTGGCCAACAAGACAATGGCATCCTGGGGTGCCTCAAAAAGAGCATGACCAGCAGGTCGAGGGAGGTCATCCTCCCCCTCTACTCTGCCCTGGTGAGGCCACATCTGGAGCACTGTGTCCAGTTCTGGGCTCCCCAGTTCAAGACAGACAAGGAACTACTGGAGAGAGTCCAGGAGGGGGCTACTGGAGGGCTACGAAGATGCTCAGGGGACTGGAGCATCTCTCTTATGCAGAAAGGCTGAGAGCCCTGGGGCTGTTGGGGGGGTGGACTAGATCTCTGAAGGTCCCTTCTAACGCCTCCTGTTCTGTGATTCAGTTTACTATTGCACTGCCTGTTAGCATTTATTTGAGTATGATTCTGATTGGATATGTGTACTTTTTGCCTTAACTACCTTGTTAGTGTTCTTCTAAGCCCTTTAAATATTGCTGGTTTTCACTCCAAACGTGGGGTGAAGTAATCCATTGCTAGGGAAATTCCTTCTTTTGCACTCTGGACAGATAAATACTGAGAGCTAGAGAGCTTTTAAAAAGTGCAATGCCTTTTTTCTTCTACCCTCTATTCCAAATATACCCAGAAGTTATAGTTTTATAAACCTTCTAGCTACATATTTGATACAAAATCATCAGTAAATACTGCATGTATCCTGCAAAACCTCCAGTGAGCTGTTAAACTTAACAGAACAGCCAACATCACTAGATCTTTTTTTTAAAGCCAAACATAAACCCATCATTGCATTACCTAAAGCTGAAAAAAGCATGAAGACTTGCTCTGAAATTCAGCATCAATAGCTAACATAACCCTAAAACCATATTGCAACTAAGTAGGATAGGAGTCTTCATGGCTTGTAACAAAGGAAAAGCATATGTATGCCTGCGTAGTGAGGAGAAAAATTACTTAAACTAAAGAAAAAGGCTTCTGGGCAAGTTCTCTATTATCTATCTTGATCTCTTGAACTCAATCTGTTCCTACCAATATTTTAGTTTTTCTGTCACAAATCATTAACTAACACAGAACAGCTATGCTGAAACATTGCATACCTAAAATTAAGCGTTATCAAAAACTATTACAAATCATTAAACCCCAAATATATTTATAAACCAAAACAACAACAACAAAAAAACCCACCCAAAACCATGACCAAATTATTTAAACAGGACCAAATGTATAAATGCATCTGGCAGACACAACAGCGCAGACTGCACCGTAATTGCAAACCTCTTACTCAATTCTTTGCTAAAGAAGTCTAAAATGAATGTTCGTAACAACTGAAAACAACTGTACGTTGGAACCTGAGATATCAAATCCAAGTTCTGTTCAACTCCTCTGTCACTTTCTAAGGTGGTAGAATTCGACACTTCTCACTGTGTGTTGAATACTCCAGGCTAAATTAAATAGAGTCCAATGCAGAAACATTTTTCCTCAAATACAAAAAAAACCCAAAAATCACTAGCTATAGAGTTACAAATCAGTTAGTATGATGCAGACTATCACCAGGTGGAATGCATCCAAGGTGCTGAGGTAGCTGGCCAACATTATGATGGGACCACTCTCTAACATATAATAAACATACGCACACAAAACACCAACCACCAACCAAAAAAGAGTGGGCTGCTAGTCAGAACCACCTCAACAAGCTGGAAGAGTAGGCAACAAAACCCCAGGGAGTTTAACACGGCCAACTGAAAAGTCCTGCAGCTAGGACCGACCAACCATCTATACGAGAAGATGGTGAGGACAAGCTGGCTAGGGGGGGCAGGAAGGGCAACTGCAGAAAAGGGTTTGGTGGTCCCAGCAGACAAGGAGGGGACTACACATCACCAGCACGTACTTGTGGTACAGGTGGCCAACCACAGTGAAGCCAGAGGGGGTTACTCCCTCTATTTGGCACTTGGGAGGCCACAGCTGGATGTGGTGTCCAGTTCTGGCTTCCCAGGACAAAGACGTTGATGGGCTGGAGGGAAGCCAGCAGGAGGCCACTAAGGTTGTTCGAGTGATGGAGCAAATGGCACAGTAAGAAAGGCTGAAAGAATAGAGCTTTTGTAGCCTGGAAAAAGTTGCTGCTGTTTTCAGCTATCCCACAGGGTGTTACAGAGAAGACAGAAAGGGCAAGAGGCAACAGGCACAAATGTCAATAACGCAAACTTTTGCCATGGGGAACCACCTCCTCCCCGTGGGAGCGGGTACAGGGCCTAGAGATGCTCAGTTGTCTCCATCCTGGACTAAAAACTCAATTGGACAAGCCCAGTAATCTCTGGATCTAGCCTGGAAGCTGCCCCTGTTTTAAGCAGGAGTAAGCCAGAGATCTCGAAGGGTTCCTTCCCACCTCATCTGTTTTTGGGGGTTCTCTGATGATGTTTATAACTTCAGAAGGCATGCAACTCGGTCTACTGTATATGAACTGGAATTATTTTTCAGCTCACTATGAAAGGGAAAAAAGATTTATTTTTTTTTGCCACAATATTTCATTGCAGATCAGAATAACCTGAAAGAAAATATTACTATTTGCTGAACACGACCTTTCGTTTTGAATCAGAACAACAGTAAGCTCTGTTTCTCAGAAATGGGGCTTCTGGGACCACATTCTTCCTCAGGATGTCATATACTCGAGACTATTTCTGAACATACACTTAATTATAGAAAAACATTTCAACTAACAGAAATTTGGAACTACTATGCCAACTCATGTAGATCCCCGAGACTGTCATCATGGTGGCTGCCACAATACAAGACCAACAGTGATCCAATCAGTTAGCCACTGGATCTTCAGATCTTCATGACCTCCCTCGACCCACTGGTCACACTCTTCCCTATACAGCCCAGGATTCCATTGGCCTTTTCGGCGACAAGGGCACATTGCTGGCTCATGGGTAGTTTACTGCCTACCAGGACCCCCAGATCCTTCTCCTCAGAACTACTTCCCAGCAGGTCCACCCCCAACCTATACTGGTGCTTAGCATTCTTCCTCCCCAGGTGCAGGACCCTGCACTATACACATATAGCTCTGTAAAAGAGTTGTCGCTCATAAGGTTATAAAACCAGTTGAACGGCATGGGAAAGAGCCCAGTAGTAGGTGATATGTTAAGTTCATGCAAAAGTATAATCTTTTCCCCTTGATAATGTTCAAAAAATCCACATGTTGTGTCTCACTGAACATATCTGAAACCACTGCTCACAGAGCAGGTGGCAGGAGTCGGTGAAGGAGAGAGACAGAGAGAGTCTGACTAGTGCGTCCTGGTCCACGACAGAAGACCGAACCGACTACCAAATATTTATTCGAATTTCCAGAAGGATTAAGTCTTACTGGACAAAAAATCTCACAAACGGGTAACGCTTTACAACCAAATCGCAATTCTCTTTGATTTGCAATGAACACGGGAGGTTGTAAAGAAAGCAGTAAAACACACAAAGTGCTGTCAAATGCCTTTAAAAACTCTCTCAAGATTGTGACAACACTATTACTTTATAAGCTTTATCATAGTAATCATTTTTGAAGAGTGCAGTGAATAGTATGGGGCAAAAGAAGTATGGGAAAGGACTGTCCAGTCAGGAAATATCTTCTCATTCAACTTAAATCCACAGCTACTAGGCTAACAAGATATGTGACAACACTGAAAGTAACCTGAAAAAGACAGATTTTAAAAAAACGTTACACTGAAAAGATAAAACCAAACCGAAAAACCAAAACCACACTCCCAAAAACGGAGCAATTGCACAGGATGGAGGTCTTTCCACCGCATACAGAGAAATCTAAGCTACCAATCTAAAAACAATTTGTGAAACTTTTTTTTTTTTTTAATAAATAAGCAGTAAAGGAAGTTCCTTCCACAAACAGGGAGGACAGTACGCGCTCTCAGTAACTTGGGTATTGGCAGATTCAAGTCACACCAAGCCAAGCGATGCCAAACAAACAAAAAAATCCCAAACAAAAAACATGAAATAAAAAAACCAAAACAAGACATTCCTAAACACCCCAGTTTTCCATTCTCCTCTCAATGCACTTATATTAAACATTTCACAAATCAAAGAAAGTTAGCAGAATAATGCTTTTCATTTAGTGCAGAATGTTTCTTCGGGGTTTTTTTTTTTCCCAACGGTATATGAAGATGGCCAAGGTTTAAATGCATTACTTTTCTAACTACATAGTGCCTAAAGAGCAGAGAAATAAGAAAACTCACTTTCTAGAGTAATTTCTACACTGTAATGCTAACACGCAATTTTTTTAGCAGTGCAGTAAGAAAATGTGGAAAACGCATCAGACTACAAATGATGCCAAATGCCATTGAAAACACTTACGATCCCACTTTCTGTTATTTGTATTAAGTCTATATTCATTCTGTTACATAATTACTGTCTAGAGATTTCAGAGACTTACATTTATATAGTTTAATAGTCTTTCATGGGACTGTTTAAAGGAATTACCAGTCAAAAACACGGAGAGAACGTGTCTTCTGTTTTTAATCACCCTCCACAAGTTTAACAAGTTATACATCACAAGGCAGCTAAATAAATTAGAATGAGTGCATAATACTGAACCCCTTCTATAAAAGTGACTCAGCTAGACACGAATACTTTCAATACGGCCCATACTAATAATTCCTTCCCACATTACAGAAATACACATATAGACTCATCCATATATTGCATGACTTTTACACAGATGAACACACCAGTACAACAACAGGACAAAACACGGGCTTTGAAAAAGGAGCACAAAGACAAAACTAACACTGATAAAGAAAGGCATAAGATGCAAAATACCAGGTTAGATCTTGCAGTGTAGTATACTTCTTCTGAATTGTCCAAAAAATCGCTACTGTCAAGCTGTTCATTAGATAGAGATCAAAAAACTCAAGTTATTTACATTGTGACTGAAAGCCAGGTATACATACAGGGAAATTTTCTTGCTAGCAAAAAGTCATGAGTTGAAACTCAAACCATGTTAAGACAGTTCTGGGGATAGAACAAAGCTAAGGGTATGGTCCCACTAGCAAACACTACCGAATCACAGCAACATAATGAATTGTTGTTCATCGCCCAAGCTGTGGTAACGAGCAACAAACTGCCCCAGTAAGACGCAAGTATGTACCAGTTCAACCAGTGCACCACCAGCAATAACTCATCGTGCTGCAGTGGTCCAGTCCTTCGGCTTGTGCACACATACCCACGGGTAAATAAGCATAAAGTTTAAGCGTGCTTTAGTGAGACAGAAGCAAAAGGGTCAGAAGAATGGCTTTAATGAAAAGGGATCCACGCTCTAATTGCTGGAGGAAGAGACAAGCGTCTCTTGCTTCCACTTCCATTTAAAAGACTCTCTCCCCCAGAGCGTGTAGATGGTTACAAACTTCTCCCTCAGCCTGCTTTGCACTAAGGCTCTCTGCTAGAGCATCCATACTTGGAACAGCTCTCTTGTTTGCATTTGACACGCCAATTTAAATTGTCCGTTCCTTCTATATCTAATGACAAAAGTATGTTTTTTCTTTGGCCTCTAGACCCAACATCAGCATTTTCAAAATCATAGTTCTGCTTCCCTCTCAGCTAACAGCAGTCATAAGAATCAACACAACTCTTCTAATTCACAATCTCCAGTGGCAATATAGTACAAACCCAGCAACCATAGATGTGAATATTTGATGTAAGCAGTTGCTTTTGCTTATAGGAACTACCCGTCTTGCTTGCCATGGCATTTTTGTATGTCACAGTAATCCTGTGACACACAAACCGATGATTCTTTCATAAACAGGCATTTTTTCCCATTCGTGCTTACACTGAAAATAATCTCAAATCATTATACCAGTACTACAGAAAGACTCCTGCCACGCCATCAGAACTAAGATAGAAATCTTCTAAAGATAAAAACTAGATAAGCTTTCCTAAAATAAAGGAATTTTATCTGAAAAGGACAGATCAGTTCTGCATGCTTTATTCCGATACAAGCGGTGGAGCAGTTAATTTCCCTCCTCAGAAAGATCCAAACGAGCAGTTATAGATCTTCCTTACAGACAGGGAAATGAGGCAAGTTCTTTGGACAGGTTTCAAATATGCAAACTCTGACAGGAACAGACAATACTAAGAGATTTCCTTATCAGCAGAATTCTTTTGGATCATCCTGCTGCCTTCCAGGAGCAGCAAGAGCTTCTGAGATTCCAAAGGGCGAAGGTCCCAATCGCTAACACACAAGGTAGGAAAAGGCTGGATTCCTCCCTTCCAAAAACACCTGCCAGAGAAGTGCTCTCAAAAGTTGTGTTTTAATGCCTGCAGAAAATCTCTCTCCCCAGTTTAGCAACTCGGGTGCCCAAGGTGCCATGAAAACACCTCTGCCCCATGTCGTTGTCCGCTAACTGCTTTGTATAGTCACCGACTGATAAAACGAGAAACAAATGGAGAAAGTATTTTTGAAAACTTCAGCTTCTCCATTAACATCTTTTTGCAGTTATGATTCTGTGTGTGGATAAGTAAATAAAATTCTTACGGAGCAAAAGCATTATAATTTGAACTATACGACTCTACCTATTGTATTTTTTTTTATAATCCAGACAATGCAACAGGGAAGCAAAGCCCGGATAACCTGGAATCAGTTCAAAAATCATTTTGAGTCAACTGATGAGTTTATGGTAGAAACACGGACTTCATTACTGTATTTAATAAACACTTGTATAACCAGGGCTCCTAAATGATGTTGTTATGCACTTATGTCAAGGTCTAAATAACAAATCTGAAATAATTGCCTAAGTCCTACGTGTGATTTGGTAAAATATTCTCCTCTGTCTCGAACGGGCACCAGGAACTGCAGACTACCTGTCCAGCCAGTTGCTGAGGAAGAGCAAGATTACAGCCAACCTCGCACACCCCGAGCCAGCTGACCCACTACCGACGGACAAGGCACCGGGAAGGCTATTTTAGTACAACTACAGAGCAATACAAGGAAACCTGCGTCAGAACTCCAGCTCACATGTGGTTTGTAGACTACAGAAGAGGAAGTACATTCCAGGGTACACACCCTTCCCAAAACCAACTCAGAGCAAAGCCAATGTCCCTCCCACCTACGAACTGAGCCAACTTTTTCACCTTAACACCTGCCTTAGAAAAACAAAGAGAACACAGAAATCTGCAGTAAGGAAGCAAAAGAGTGTCTTTTTTTTTTTTTAAATCCAGGAACGTGAAGAAACTGCCCAAGTGCACAGATGTGGGAAGCAACAGTGTCCATAGAAGACAGGAAGCTATGCAGAGGAAGCTACTGTGAGACAGCACAGATGCCTTTTCCCTCACTGCCTGATTTCTCGTACCCCTTGTACTGGTGGGTCCATAAAAAGAAAACATTGCCAACACACCCTTACGGAATCCGTCAGCTGCCAGATTCAGTGTGGCTCAGGTGTGAGGCAGGGCTACGGAAAGATGGTTTGTGTGGGAAAATAACAACCCCACAAAAATCCAATTTTTTAAATTGCATCCTACCTCTTTCCCAGGCTCTCAATTTTATTATTGCCATTATCAATCATTGTCAATACAAGCATAAGGGAGAGAAACATTTGAGTACGCACAGTAATTCTACAATTAAAAAAAATATAAATAAAGGGAATGATATATTTGGCAATGAGGTATAAAGGACAGAGGAAACCCACAAAACAGAGGGCTGTTGCTTAGCACATACATCACACCTAGCAGAGCCTGCAAATAAGGGGTCTTGCTGCACATAATGTAATGCCACCAAAAAATTTAGGACCAGTATGTTACAACCTGTCAAAAAAATCACTACCAAGTCTAGCAGTGCTAAGGAAGTATGCTACACATCTTGGATTTCTTCTCCTCCACAGATATTTACAGAGAATCATGCGCAGAGCATAGCCCATGCTGTGTGTTACTCACAAATTCATGATGTGGCTCTGTCTCTTTCCTCAAGGGTGGATCAAATTTTACTTGACCAACTAAACAGGAGAAAAGGAAAACAACGATTTAATTTGGACTGTAATTAGACAAAATTTAGCTCTAAAGGCTAAAACGAAAAATTCAGTTTAATGAGTGCATCATATCCCCACATATGGAAACTTGTCACATGCACCCACCCAACTTGTGCCCGCTAGAAACTAAAGGACACAGAAAACACTCTTTTATCACAAAGGCAGCACAAACACCATTTGCCCCACCTACTCATCAGGAAAACCATTCAGCAAATAGGGCAGCAAAGTGCCCTCTTTAGAGGAACAATACAGCTGTAATTTATAGAAAAAACACATCCATTGTGTGAATTCGATCTTGGGTCTGCTCTTCTGGAGATTCACTAACGCTAAAGAGCCTTGAATGAAGTTTGGAGAGAGCTCATCACATCTTGTAGCACAGTTCTTTGACAGATACTCTTTAACACCCCTCCCCTCAATTTTGTCCTAAGAAAAGACAACTAAATCTTCAAGTATTGCTCTGATTCAAGCAAGAGAATAACTACAATTTGTGGGAGGGAGTCTACTTTTAATGGCCAGTGATCAACCTCATCCTTTCCCAAAGCAAAAGCTACACCCAGATACCAAATTAAGGACTAAGACTCTTCTGCTGGCATTCTGTTACCCAGCAGAACGTGGCATCGCTCTGATTATCCTTGAGGGAGCGGCATCTGAAGCTATACCAACCAGCTCCCAGAAGAGCTCAGGTTGTGTCCTATTCAATTAAGACGAAGCCATAGTACGATTTGCTGAAATGCTGACAAAGGCTGAATTCAAATACTTTACACCAGTATTTCTTTTGCCCAGTCATCTAGAACCTATATCCACAAGTGGAACAGTGTAAGCTTTTATTTTCCTGTATTTCACTAAAAATGTGTCTATATATGTAAGATACCCAGAATACGAGTTGAAATAAGTGAATAGCAATGATTATTTTTAAGGACCATTCATGTTGTCACATTACACATACTTACAGTTTATTTCAGAGCGCGTCTTTTCTTCTCTCACGTTTCTACTCGTCGAATGAATTCTATGAGGCACTACAAGAGGCTAGAAGAGAAAAATAAAGTACTTCAACACCAAAATACACTCACTTGAAACCCAGTATTGTATACCTAGTTTTTAGCAGGTTTCTTTAGCGTAATAAAAAAGAAGGAAAGAAATCAAGCGGAAGCTAAAAATAAAGATTGCATGTACGTTTTTATACATTGTTAGAATTACTCGGAGACAGTTTATCTGTAGAGTGTCTTCAACTTCAAAATAAGGGTTTTTCAAACACTGGATTTGAGCAGATAAAGACAATACTGGCCAGCATTTGTCTTTGCTCAGATAACATTTCCTTTTTGCGCCTTTCAGTTTAAGGTATTGGCAGTCTCCAAAATAAGCAGTAAGACTAAATCTGACTTACTGGCAGCACTTCCTTCATTTACATACCTCAATCACTTAGGTTAAGCTTCTAACATAAAGTGATTCCTAAAAAGTCAAAACTTAGTTTAAGTAGATGAGAAGTTAGCCTGAGGTTTTCAGAGCTGAAAAGAAGGCAGTATTCCTGGTGTGTATTGCTGTGTGGCAAGAGTGATGCCATCGTTTCTACAATTTCACCTTCATATTTATGTTCCACTTCATTTTTTTTGCCTGGATTTCTATTTCATAGAATCCTCATAGAATGGTTTAGGTTGGAAGGGACGTTGAAGACCATATCCACCCCCCTGCCCTGGGCAGGGACACCTCACACCAGCCCAGGTTGCTCCAAGCCCCGTCCAACCTGGCCTTGAACACCTCCAGGGATGGGGCAGCCACAGCTGCTCTGGGCAATTTGTTCCAGTGCCTCACCACCCTCACAGGAAAAGAATTTCCTCACAATATCTAACCTAAATCTCCCCTCGTCCAGTTTGAAACCATTATCCCTCGTCCTATCGCAACACTCCCTAATCAAGAGTCTGTCCCCAGCTCTCCTGTAGCCCCTTTAGGGACTGGAAGGGGCTCTAAGGTCTCCCCGGAGCCTTCTCTTCTCCAGGCTGAACCCCCCCAACTCTCCCAGCCTGTCCTCCCAGCAGAGGGGCTCCAGCCCTCTGAGCATCTTCATGGCCTCCTCTGGACTTGCTCCAACAGGTCCATGTCCTTCTTCTGTTCAGAGCCCAAGAGCTGGACGCAGTACTCCAGCTGGGGTCTCATGAGAGCGGAGTAGAGGGGCAGAATCCCCTCCCTCGCCCTGCTGGCCACACTCTTTTGATGCAGCCCAGGATGCAGGAGGCTTTCTGGGCAGCGAGCGCACATTGCCAGCTCATGTCCAACTTCTCAATCACCAACACCCTGGAGTCCTTCTCCTCAGGGCTGTTCTCAATCCATTCTCTGTCCAGCCTGGATTTGTGCATGGGATTGCCCCAACCCATATCAAGATGTTGCACTTGGCCTTGTTGAATTTCATGAGGTTGGCTTGGGCCCACCTCTCCAGCCTGTCCAGGTCCCTCTGGATGGCATCCCTCCCCTCCAGCGTGTTGACCACACCACACAGCTTGGTGTCGCCAGCAAACTTGCCGAGGGTGCACTCGGTCCCACTGTCCATGTCACCAACAAAGATGTTAAGCAGCACTGGTCCCAGCACTGACCCCTGAGGAACGTCACTTGTGACCAGTCACCATTTGGACTTCAAGCTGTTGACTGCAACTCTTTGAGCACTGCCATCCAGCCAGTTCCTTATCCACTGAGTGATCCATCCAACAAATCCATGTCTCTCCAATTTAGAGACCAGGCTGTCATGTGGGACAGTGTCAAATGCTTTGCAGAAATCCAGGTAGATGTCAATTGCTCTTCCCTTATCCACCAACGCTGTCATAGAAGGCCACCAGATTTGTCAGGCACGATTTGCTCTTAGTGAAGCCACGGTGGCTGTCACCAGTCACCTCCTTAGCAGAGTTTCTGGAAGATCTGCTCCATGGTCTTGCTGGGCACAGAGGTGAGATTGACCAGCCTGTAGTGCCCTGGTTCTTCCTTTTTTCCCTTTTAAAACGTGGGGGTTATGTTTCCCCTTTTCCAGTCAGGAGGAACTTCACCAGACAGCCATGACTTCTCAAATATGATGGCTAGTGGCTTAGCAACTTCACCCACCAGTTCTCTCAGGACTTGCAAGAAGATTTACTTCTCTACAGGATGAAGTGTCATGAACTTTAAGACTAGGCTTTCTTTTCTTTGGCCCTATTGGATTTTCTCTCTTCTTTCTACATCCACTACTGAAAGTTCTCTTAGAAACTATAACTTAAGTTTTCTTAACAAGAGTACAAGACTAGCTGACTTCTGTATACAATCAAGCCCCAAGATAAGCAACATAAATCCTAACAGTGTGCTCTCAGCATGTTCTCTGCAACAAAATCTGACTTTTTGGAGAAAAAAGTTGATTCTCCATGATGTTAGCCCAAGTAATCTCTGAAAAGCGCATGTTCGCTACGCTTCTGTGGTGAATATGTGGTAGCAAAACAATTTTTAATTAAGGCAATCTGACACAATAGTGTCAGAAATTTGATGTGCTGGTATGCTAGCTTTGCTTTTATATACTAATTATAATCTTCACTTGGCAACTTTTGACTATGAAGTCATGACAGAGTTAGAGAACTGCAACTGCTGTACTATCACAGAGTCATGAATAGCTCAGCAATGCTGTTTATCCCTGAAATATTATCCGAAAGCATTATTTCCCTTCTCCCCTTTTTACTGCACACTACTTCCTTGCTTTATATTAGGATCCAACATATATGTACAGTGTTTCACCTCCCGTTTATATTCACTTTGGACTTTTTTGAAACTGGAGAGACTTACAGACTGTGGGTGTGTATTTTCTCCCACGTATCTCACAGGCAGTATTTCGTTTCTTGTAACTTATGCCAAACCTCCCCTTCCTTGGTTCTCATTTGTCTATTGTGCATTCTTATGAGCTTTAAAAATGGTTTGCTATAACTCAGGATGTGTTTCAAAGGTTCAGTCTGATTTTCTACTTGAGTATTTCGAACACTAACTGCTAAAAAGTTTTTTTAATTTATTTATATTTATTATTTCTAATCTTTCATTAAGAAGCATTGCCCACTTGCACATCATGCATGCCATTACTAGAAGGAATCAAATCTTCATTTCTCGGTCATGAGGACAAAGTCCTTAAGTTACCTTGAAAGACCGGCACTGACAAAAAAATGATACAAACAGCTGACATCTGAGCTGTCCAAGACAACAAAGGAACGCAGGTTAACTCACCGACACAAATGCTATTCAGACACAATTTTAATCACAGTATAGATCTCGAGAGCAATCTTACCCTCAAAACTGAGGCTAAAACATACACTAAGAATAAAACATGAGCACTTTCCTCTTTACAACCTTTTCAGCTAATTTCACATCCATCATGAGAGTAACTGTCATAGAAATGTGGTGAACAGGCAGCAGCCAACATTTTCAAAGGTTTGTGCTGAAGTGAAAGCAGAGTCCCAAACGGAAATCCTGTCTTTGATTGAATGGGAAAGCAAATGAGGTCCTCCATGAGTTAGGGTAGAGAAAAATTCTCAAAACGTCAGTTACAGATATTGCTGCCAAAAGAGTAACGACTGTATCAAGGGGAGACCGTTCTGATTATACCCAAATAACCTGACTGCATGTTTTTAGTTTTGCTTTTACACACTAAACATTTCACCTTTGTCTGAGTTTAAAGTGATTTAAAGATGTAGTATGGCACTCCTTGAAGAGCTGGCAAATTTGAATCTTAATCTCTACCTCACCTACACAACTCTGAAGTTTACCAAAACAGTAACTGATACCATCCCCGTAAATTCAGCATAGGCCAGGTGAAGAGGCATCATCAGTGGGCAGTAGAGTTGTGTTCAAAGAGCACCGATAGCCAGAAAAGCTCTCTAGCCTCCAACAAAAAGAAAAAGCCAAATCCACAAAACCCACACCAAAAAATCCCAAAACACATACACCACCCCCCAACAACTACCAAAACTTCAAACAAACCGGGGAGCATGCCTGAAGCTCAAGATTCTCACCAGTGTTGTTTGTACCACATTATTGCTTCTTTCTATTTTTGATGGATGCATTCAGGTGATTGCCAGAAGTACAGGAGTGGTCAATCCTCAAGTTTAGATTAAAATCTCCAGCTACCTCTGTGAGCAGGCAGGTAGTGAAGAACCTTCAACAATGTATAAAAGGAGCATGTATGCTTCTTATTCCCTTCGGCTTATTACAGAAAAGACCACAATGCCAACAATTGTTTTGCTTGTGGCAGGATTCTTCATCTAAAATACAGACCTTGCTCTAGACGCATCAGATAATGAATTATCACCTGCTTTATTCACAGAGATGGGTCCTAGATGTACTTATTACAAAATAAAATGTTTTCCGAAGTGCCGCTACCGATCTCATTTTGCAGGTGGATTACATGCCTCAATGGAAAATTATCTGGCAACATGGTTACACGCCTCTTCGCGTTTCTCCTCTAAGTTGTCTATCCAATGAAAATGATCCAGCACCACAGGTAAACAGTGTCTGAAGCTCACTGGAGAGCTCAAGGCCATGCAATGAACAAGGACAGAGAAGTATTATTATGCCTCGCACAGAAGCCAACCATTGCAGCAGGAAACCCTCAGCAATGTCAGATAAACAACAAATGCATTAACATCTGAAAAAAAGCATATCAAAAGACAGGCAAGCAGCTTGCTGATCCTCCACACTGTCAGCCAGTCTAAGCTCCCTTATAAATTATGAAAATACGCATTTTCTAATCATTGCTGTGAGGTTTTTTTCCCTCTTCATTTTCTCCCCAGACAAGGCACAGCTTTTTCCCCTGATACCACACACTTCATTACAGGATAACGATAAGTAACACACTAGACAACAGAAGAGCCTTCTTGATGCTAAGTCAGAAGAGACATAAAAGAGCGAACACTATGTTGAAAGCTACAAGTAGCTGTCAACAAAACATGTACTGAAGTGACTCCATACAGGAAGAGAAGAGAGATTCTCCACCTGAGTGGCCCAAAACAAAGGCCAAGATTCTTATTGAAAAGGTATACCTACGACACCGGGGAACGGCACGTCAGGGTTTCAGTACCATTTCCAGGAGAGCAGGGAAGACTTGCAGGGCAAGCTACTTGATCCGAGAGGCTCGCTCACAGAAAGCACACTGAAAACAGCTTTAAGCTTATTTTCCTCTGAAGGCACTTTTAGACTAGTTTATCCATTAAAAAAAAAAAAGTAAAGCACACATATGCAATTAATGAATCAATGGCATTTTGGTGAAAGGATTATTTTTTTTTCCCCAAAAAAGAGAGCATCAGTTAGGGAACTGTAAACATTTGGAAAGTTCACTAACATACAGTTAAGTACGAAGACAGGATGCAGAAACCAAATATCTGTTTTCTCTTATTTATGAAACACTTCAGTCCTGCACTGTTCATCATCTTATATAAGCATGCTATTTTTCCCAGCTATTAAAGCAGAAAATCAGAAACTTTGCCTTTCACAAAACCGTAAGTGAAATCCAAGTTTCAGAGTATTCTAAGACAGAAAATATAATCTGCATGAGACACATAACAAACCATTTGATAAAAACAACTACAGGATCATTCTCTTCTTCTCGTAAGAAAGTAAATTAGGCACAAAAGAAGTTGTTCTACAGAAATATAAAATCATTTTTATGAATGCTTTCTTTGTAGATGAACGGAAACATCATTCCACAAAGAAAAAGAAAGTAGGACAGATGATGGAACTCGGGATTGGAGTAGTTATCCACATTTACTGTTGCAAAATTGCTAAAGGACAACAATAAATTGTAAAGACTTTTTTACAGCCTTTACTTCTCTTTCTCTCTCCCTCTTTCTCCTCTCATCTCTTTTGTAAGTGCCTGTACATGTGACAGAGCAACACAACCAAAACTAACAGCAACCCTTAAGATTATTCCCAGATCACAAAACATTCTGTGGCTCGATAAATCAGAATCACTTGGTTCTCTCAGCAAACAAAAACTTAATCTGTTTCTATAATTAAAACATATTCCTACCTCAGGATCATCATCATCAAAATCATGGTAAGTGGAATGATCAGGATTATTCATTTTATCCAAAAGCTCAATAGCAAGACTTCGATTTAATGGCTGGGTAACAAAAGGATGCTGAAAGACAGAAGGAAACACACATATTAAAATTCCAACCACTATTAAGCATATTTTAGTTTTGTAACTTAAAAAAAAACCCATACATAAATTTATACCTGTAGTAACTTTTCAGCTGTAGGTCTTTTTTTAGGATTTTTTGTAAGTGCCATTTTCACAAAATGATGGAAACTATTGGACCTGTAAAACGAAGTGGTAAACATTAGAATCAATTGCCCGGTGAAATACATGACCATTAGCTACTGAAACAGAGAAGTACTTACCATTTCATTTTGTCCTTTAATTTAGGAGGCTGGAAGTTGCTTTTCGTCATTAGAAAAAGTGCTCTGAAAAAGCCCAACCGATATTTCCGTGGTTTACATTGCAATACATATGCAAGATGAATTATTAAATATATTATTTAGTTGGCAGGAAGAAGTCCATCAGTTTAAGAGATGCTCCCAGGACATTACACGTTTATGCACCAAAAAGCGCTACAATTTCTATCGTCTACATGCAGAACACTTAGAACCCAACACCCTTGCAGCACACCACAAGCACACACAGCCATTACTTCAAACGGATTATTTATGAAGCTGTATTTGCACACCAAGCTTTAACCCCTCACTAACCTCATTGGATGCAGGTCAAACATTGGAGGCTGAAGTTCAGCGAGCTCTATAGCAGTTATTCCAACTGCCCACAGGTCACAGAGTTGGTTATAGCCACCTTTTCTTTCTACTGCAGCAACTTCTGGTGCCATCCTAAAGGGTAAAAGACATTTTTAGATCAACTTCTCATCACAAATCAAATACGCAGCAGTTTATTACTCTTTTCCCTCAGTCTCTAAGCTCACAGCATATACGTTTATACATGTGGATATATATACGTGTGTGTATAAAAAGTGATGTAATGTATACATGAAGTTTTCCTCAGTCACCTTCTAGTAACTCATAGGCAGATTCCAAAACATCTATTTAGCAATAAGTGGATGAAATCAATCTGTCTCGGACTTTTTTTGCAGGCACACAATAAACTACCATTCAACAAACAGAGAACCCAAGGTCTAATTAATCAACTACAGTAAAATCCAAATAATATCCAAATTCACACATTATCCCAGAAAGTGATTAACTGACTTTGAAGAGAAGAATTCTAACAAAAACAACAACAACAAAAAAAGAAGCTAACAAAACGTCAGCTGAAAGCATGAGACCTGAAGACTCATTGTCACCTCTGCACAGAGCACTCCTTGTTTGTAAAGTCTGCCCCACTGTAGTCTAGGGAGACCTCATTTCAGTCAACAAATTAGTTTCACATCCTCAGGTGGCAAAAATAACACACATAACTGACACATAAATAGGAATACCTAAAGACAACGATTCACTAGTCATTGTCACATGTTTTGAGCAGCTGAAGTGAATTACGGATTTGATTGTCCTACCAGATCTGCCCTATCAGATGGCAAACGTTAATATTTTTTAGTTTTGAACTTTATTAGTCCAGATCACCTGAAAAGTACCGGTGGAACTGGAGATGTAACTCGGTATAGGTAAGACAGAGGAATGTCACTTCATGAGCGCTCCAGTAAAGCAGCAGGCAGCATATCAAATGACGTGTTATTTAAACACAGACATCCTTATCTCTAGATCTGAAATCATCAGGTTTGGTGGTGCAACTTATTCCAAGTTTGCCTAGTTAAGCTATATTTACATAAGTTTCTTCCAGAGTTGAGGAAAAAAAACCCCAATCACTCTACATCAAATAGGAGGGAGTTACCGAAGTCGAGGGGGAACGTGGGTTAACTTCAGAAAGCCGTGGAGGAGGAGCACAGGGGTAAATAGCAGGGTTACTAGAAGTAAAAGACACTGCACACCAGTTTTGCCCTTCATTTCTCTCCCATCCAAGTGCCATAGACTTACATGCCCAGACACCTCTAACGATCACTAAAGCTTTCACACCGCCCATCTCCAACTAAATTATCTTCTCCACAATCTCAGCAACTGTGCTTCCTTGCTTCTCCCCTCAAATCTCTGAGAAGCCTCGCAAAGAAAAACTAGATGCTTTTCATCAGCATTTAACCTATGTCATGCTTTCAAAGTTACTGTTTAAGAGAATGACAGGTTATTTGGGAAGCCTGGCACAATTTGGAAGCTACCCGGTGATACAGGCCTAAAGTCACCCAGACATCTTAGGAAAGAGAGACACAAACCAATTACACAACCACCACGGATGGGTGTTTGTGTTATTCTGAAAGGGAAGTGAATCCAAGCCTTGGCTGACTTACACTGCAGAAGAATGCTAAAAATGCTGTGCTTGACTATTTCAAGACCAAATACTTGAATGAAGGGTGTCTTTTTTTCATTATATACATTTTTATTTTGTACCTACTATGCTGTCAGGCAACAGAATTTTGAGTATCTTTCTGAGAAACGTACAACAGAAGTGCTATTTTACAGTGAAGAATGCGTGTCGTTTACTTCAAGGTGAAAAGGGAACAATCACCTCCAGTACAAAGAGGAGAAAATAAAATGCTGAACTTTAGAAAAGATAAGTTATGCAAACTAGTTTACTGAGGGAAGAATAAAGACACCGTACAGATAAGATAGAAATGTATGTTTGAATTCTATCAGTTTAGGGAAATAGGAATTAAAAAAAAAAAGAAAATGGCTAGAAGAAACATTTCACAAGCGGCAAAAGAATCCGTAGAGACAAACAAATAAAGCTCATTATCAACTGAAGAGCTGCAGAAAAGACATATCTAGGGTGGAGGGGAAGAAACATAAAACACCAAAATGGACAATCAGGGAAGAAAAAAAAAATCATTTAAGAGTAAAATTAAAACCAAGCAAAATTGTTGACATTTTTTGACTAAATTGAGAGACATCAGTCAAGTGATAGTAGCACACAGCCAGCCTTTCAATTTTTCAGAGCATTCCAGCATTTTCTCCAATACTCAGCTAATTCAGGATTTAGCACGAGTAATACAGATACGTTCACTAGAAAGTCTGACACAGCCTTTAGCGATTAGTCTACTCAGAAAGTGATATAGCATGCTTTTAATCACATTTTTTCCGCAGTATTATATATGCTACTATTATATTAATGGCCAAGTAAAATACAGTTACCAATATGGCGTGCCAATGAATGATTTCCTTTTGGCAATTGTAGCTGTTATCTGTGCAGATACTCCAAAATCAGCTATTAAAAGAAAAAAAAAAAAAAAGCAAAACCAAAACGACAGTTAACAACTGATTTGATGTAATGATTTGTTAATGAACACAAGTTTGGTTTCCCCACTGTAAGAGTTTCTTAAATATACTAGAAATATTTAACAGAAAATAAATAACAAAAGCAAATAACGGAAACTTGGTGCATCTCGGATTCCATCGGCCATCTCCTCTCATTCACCTACCAAATATGCAGGCTGCACACAAACATGCCCCTCGTCAACACAAGAAAAAACAGTCTAGCACAGAAGTCCTAACAGCTACGTGCAGTACTTTAACATGATAAAATTACATTATTTAGTATTATCCAAAAGACTCTTTCAGATAACCTTTCAAGGTCCATTTCACATTTAATCACTTGGATGGTACATTTTATTAAAAATTTATAAAACCCTGTGAATTGATTTTTACCTCCCCCTTACAACATTAGAAAGTCTTTTACCTCAGTGTTCCAAACAACTCCAATTACTCCTCAGACACTAACTGGAGGTGCAGTTAGATATCACCAGCAAGAAAAAACTAATTCTTATATTCATTAATTCCTTACATGAACCATTACATCATTAAACAAAATACAGAAGACTGCTTCTTAGAGCGCATAAAAATCTGTTAATAACACTAAATTGTATTAACTCACCTAATTTTACGTGTCCATTATCCGTTAAAAGAATGTTTGCTCCCTTAAAAATAGTAAGCATACTTGAATTAAAACATGCAGATTCCTCCGATACCATATTAAAGGAAAATTATGTGAGATCATATGGCAAAATAGGGGCCACAGACAAACCAAGGATTGTGCATTCAAGAAATCTGCAGCCTTACCGAGAAATGTTGATGAAATTAGGAAGTCGTTATTCTATTATATAAAGAAACTTGGACATACAGGGTTTCACATTGATTTTTATTTTAGTACTCTTTAGCCTATGGTACTACAGAGTTTCGATTGTACACAAAACCCTCTCAAAAAGCAGAATATGATGGTTTCCCTATGCTGATGAATTCTTACTTTCTTCTATTTACACTGAATGAAAGGAAATCGGAATTCTAAAGGTCAAAGCGGAAGTAATTTGATTTTCTTTTCATATGTAGGAGCTGGTTTTGTCTTGTTTGAGAGCCATGATAATTGTAATTATAGCCTTAAGGATGTGCCTTGGTATTCAAGTGTTTAGCAAAACTATTTCTGTCTTTACGCAACTGAGATTCTGTTAGTGTTAGATTTGAAGTTTGCTGTTGTGCGACTGTATGCACCACTCGCTTCAGTTCAACAATCAAAACTAACCTGAAGTGGTACCTTAAAATTACGGCATCAAAGGACTGAGAACAAACCTGATCTGAAGACTGACACCAGGTACAGGTTGAGTTGAGCAAAGGCTGGAGTCAGCTACACACAGCTCCAAATGTCTGTGCTGCCCGTGAACTAGATGGAAAGGCAGCACAGAGGGGCCTCCAAAAAACTATGCTTTTACAGATTATGGGTTTTCGCAGAGAGGTGAGGCCTGCAGTAAAATGCAGCTTACTTGGGCAAACATCACACAAGTACAGTTAATGAGCCTTACAAATGGAGCTTGGTAAAGAGTGTGACAAGACCAGTTAACATGTTCTTGACCTTATTCACCTTTCAAGACTAACAGGACGGATATTCTAAATACATAACTTAGCTACTGTGGGAAACGAACATAATTCAACAGTCAGGAGATCTGCAGATGAAGATAGTATTTTTCCACACTCATGAGAACAGCTTTTTTTTTTTAAAAAAAAAAAATATATTTCTCAACGTAAGTGCTGTAAGCACTTTTTATCAGCACAGTTCTCTCTAGAAACACGTATCTGTGCACTGTATCCTTATAAGCAGCATTTCACATTCTATAAAATATAATGAAAAAGTGTTTTATTTTTGTGTCTGAAGTAATCTTCTATTCAGAATTTATTTTTTATGATAGCTTAAAACCCAAACATCCTTCTGCAGTCAATGAGAACAACTTGGAATCAGGCTGCATTAAGGCATCTGCAGTTGAAGCTACTCTGTACACTGCACCCCTAGCCCGAAAAAAACCAAACAACTGAACAAACAAAATCAATCCCCCCCACACACAAAGGGGATATGATAATTTACTGTCAGATTTCCAGGAGGAAGCCTGCCAAGTTTAAGCTGCAGTCTGAGCAAGGAGGAGTTTGGAAAGGCAGAGAGTAAGTAGTAAAACCCTAGGGACAAGAAGCCAAACGGAACCCCCAGAAGGAAACTATGACAGAGAGCATAAGAGTCTGAACAAGCCACCTTTGATACAGCTTTCTTGAGACGGAGGATTAAATAAGTCAGTGTCAAGAGCCTGATTTGTGGTACCCTCTCTCATTTTAGCATCAGAGGGAGAGGACAGCAGTAGTCTCCAAGAACCATGCAGAAGAGCAGCCCTGCCATCGGCTCACCGAGAAAAGAAGTAAGAAGCCAAAGACACAGCTCTGCTGGCTGGCTGGTTCAAGGAGGGTACCTCGAGCCCCCTGGAAAGGGGTGGGCAGGACCAAACCTTTCCTTCTGCACACTCTTGCAGCCAGCTGAACGCAGGCTGTTCTGCACACTAGCCAATACCTAAATTTTACAGCACTGGTCTAAATAAATAGCCTGTTTGGCTCCAATTAAATTAAAAGAACCAACTATTTCCATGCATGCATTTTAAAGGAAGACTTTTTTTTTTCCCCCTCTTACCTTGGGCAGAATATTTTATTTCATTCTAATAGATAGAAAAGCCCTACATATTTAAAAACATCCCCCAAATTGATATATAACAGTAAAGACCCATCAGAGGTGATGTAGCCTATTTTAAAAACATGAAAATTACCTTCAGTTTTTACTTACCTTTATATCTCTGTGCATTTTTCCTTTACTGTGAAGATAATATAGTCCCTGCATAAAATATTTAGATAATAATTTAGTCCTATATTTTTCATTTTATGTACATTTCTTATGTAATTACCAAACATATTTAGGATCGAATTTAATCATCTAAATGACTCGCTGACTGAAGAACATTCTTATATTTCAGTGTATCTAAACTGTATTTGCAAATTCAATATATGTACCTAAAACACAGGATAGATGGAAAGAACATCAGTCACCACACCTACTGTAAGAAAAGCGTTCCCCAACCAAGTTTTCCTCTGGACGTTGTAACTGTCACCTTTTTAAACCAAGTTAATTACTTTAAATTGCCTAACAGTCTTCTATTCAGCAGTCAGATCACTGGATACCCAGTGTAGTTATCCCCTGTATCATTACACACTTTAATTAAGTCTCAATTCAATTAAGCAGACAGCACTTCGGGTCTAAGCCAGGAGTTCAATCCCAACTCATGGATTCAGAAGCATTAGTCTATCTCTCTGGGTCTCAACGACAGTACTAAAGCATTTTAGGACTCAAGATGAGTTAGAAACTTGAAGTTCAAATTCTGGAAGAATTCGATGAAACCAAACCCCTGCATGACAAATCACAGAGGACGTAACTCCTGACACTCCACGCTTCTCTCTAAAATTCTCTTCTGAGGTAAAATGACGTAAACACCTTCCTCGCTCTGTGGTCACGAACCTCCATAAAGACTATATTTTCATGGGAGATGCCCATGTCAAGACAGATTTTTTTTTTTTTTTTTTTTTTTTGCCAGCTCATGCATGACATCACTGAGTTGATCGCAAAAATAAATTAGGATTGTTTTCAATTATCAGCATTTTCGTGGATGGTCCTAAATATACCAACAGGGAAAATGAGGAAACAATTACTTACATGACTTGGTACTTGAGATTTTCAAGTGAACAACATTATACAGATAGACAACAGTACCACTGAAAATACAGTTTAGGGGTATTTTTTGTAAGTTCTTGAAAACCTGAATGTAATGTAACTGAATTGCTAATCAGTTATGAAATTCAACTCCTTAAATAAACAAAAAACAAGAAAAAACCCTCTCACGGATGTTTTAAACTGTTTCTCTGGGAGAAATGGCTAAAAACACCCAGCTGGTCCAATGGTTTTTCAGAGTCATCACCGCAGGTGCACATGCAGACCCCAAAATTGGACTCAATTTGCTTTTGGTACAGAGTGCAAGTAATCAGAGCATCTACCTGACCATTGCAACAACTGGCATTTAGCTAAAGGAGTCCCATGTACGCTCCTCGCATTTACATCTCTGGATGCTACTGGCACAGAAAGCCAAAAACTCACTCATTTTTACCACTGCCCTGAAAGAATTTGAGGTCACCATTTTCCAAACTGAATGCCTGGAGGCAGGTACTTTAAAGGCCATATTTAAAGTACCTATATTTTCAGAATGAGTCTCACCGACTCCAGCCAGTACCGATAGTCAGTGTTCTTTGAAAACAGAGCATTTAATGGGCTTCTAAATATGGAGATCGAATGCTTTAGGCATTCGAGTGAAACTTTGGACTCATGGAAACTGATGGCAAAATTAACATTGGACAAATTACTTTTACAGATGGACAGGATTTTTGCTAGGAAAAGTGACGGTTGCGCTATAAGCTACAACAAGCTATCAGAAACTACATACATTATATTTGGTCAGAGTGTTACAAGCATGGATTTACAGACAACTTCAAAACATACAAAAATGGGTCCATGGAAAACACTTAGAAAACACATAGAAAGCAACAAGTCTCCTTCCCACAAGCAATTTACACATATTAACCAAGAAATCTTCCCACACAATAAATAATGATTTTATAAATTCCATTCTAGACTCCTAGAATGGAAACACTTCTCCATATTCCGAGAAGATGCTGGATTTGATGGGTGTACTGTTCGGTGGATAAGGAATGGGCTGGATGGTTGTATCCACAGACTAGTGGTCAACAGCTCAATGACCAGATGGTCATCGGTGACGGGTGGTGTCCCTCAGGGGTCTGTATTGGCACCAGTACTGTTTAATATCTTCATGACATAGACAGTGGGATCAAGTGCACTACCAGCAAATTTGCAGATGACACCAAGCTAATTGGTGCAGCTGACATGCCTGAGGGACAGGATGCCATCCAGGGGGACCTGGACAAGCTCAAGAAGTGGGCCTGTGTGAATCCTGAGGTTCAACAAGGCCAAGAGCAGGGTCCTGAACCTGGATCAGGGAAAACCCTGGTATCGATACAGGCTGGGGGATGAAGGGATGGAGAGCAGCCCTGAGGAGAAGGACTTTCGGGTGTTGGTTGATAAGAAGTTCAACATGAGCTGGCAATGTGCAATCACAGCGCACAAGGCCAACCGCATCCTGGGCTGCATCAAAAGAAGCATGGCCAGCAGGGCGAGGGAGGGGATTCCGTCCCTCTGCTCCGCTGTGGGGAGACCCCCACCTGGAGTGCTGCATCCAGCCCTGGAGCCCCCAACATAGGAAGGACATGGACCTGTTGGAGTGGGTCCAGAGGAACATCCAGAAGATGCTCAGAGGGTTGGAGTACCTCTCCTATGAAGACAGGCTGAGAGAGTTGGGGTTGTTCAGCCTGGAGAAGAGAAGGCTCCGGGGCGATCTCATTGCAGCCTTCCAGTATCTGAAGGGGGCATACAAGAAAGCTGGGGAGGGACTTTTTACAAGGACATGGAGTGATAGGATGAGGGGGAATGGCTTCAAACTGGAAAAGGGGAGATTTAGATTAGATATTAGGAAGAAATTTTTCACTCTGAGGGTGGTGAGCCCCTGGCGCAGGTTGCCCAGGGAAGTTGTGGAGGCTCATCCTTGGAGGTGTTCAAGGCCAGGTTGGACGGGGCTTGGAGCAACCTGGGCTGGTGGGAGGTGTCCCTGCCCAGGGCCAGGGGGGTTGGGACTAGATAACTTTTAAGTTTCCTTCCAACCCAAACCGTTCTACGATTCTGTAAGAACAAAAGGATTTAAAAGGTTCAAAACCCAAAATACTTCCAAGATGTCAGATAAGACTTCACTGTAAGGGAAAAGCGCCATGTCCTGTAAGTCAGAAGTGAGCAGTCTCTGGCATAGCACAGGGAGATGGTATGGAACCATGCAAAAGAGCTGGTTCATGGACAGAGCTATCTTGACAGAGTGTGTGAGAAACGCAGGAGTTCTCAACTGATGGCATTTAACAGATGTGTGCTCACTAGAAGCCAAGAACTGCTTGCTCGCACGGAAGCAAGACATCCACCAAAAAAGCTGTTTCTGACTAAGTTTTACTGGTGAACTGAACCTCTAATTTGGGAAAGAAAAATGAAAGCATAACTGCGAGGAAAGGCCGGTGACCTTAACTTGAACATCTCAAGTACACAGGCAATTTTCTTTTTACTTATTGGCACAGACGAACTATATGATGTGCAAAGCTGAGTCTCTAATTTTCTCTCAGTTTTCCTTCAAACTTGCAATAACTAATTTGTACCACAAATATGGATAAATAAATATGCTGCTTCCCCCCTCACAAAAAAAAAAAATAACAGCAGAAAGATGACTACAGTTTTCTTCAAATGATCACGGATAATTTGAGGTTACGCAATTACAAAATCGGTTCTAGGCTATTATACAGGACATCCTCCAAAGTCTTGAGAAAAATCCAAACGCTGTACTTCCATGGCATCATGCATATTTGTAGCTTTTAATAATTTTACATGAAGAGTCAACCACAAGAACCTGAGAACGCACTACCTGTAGTGTTTCTCTGCTAACGTAGGCAATCTGCTGTTCTGAAAGTGGTCCAGTCACTGAAATGAAAGGGAAAAAAAAAAAAATAATTCCCACAATCAGGTAAGATACTGCCCATTCCAAACTCATACCTCAATTCCATTCACACTGATAAGATCTTACACTAGAAATCTCGAAATAAATGTACTTAGTCTTTCCCCCAGATCGAGCACCCCAAAGACCACCAAACATTTTTTAAACACAAATATGTCTAGTCCCATTAGAATGGAAACTACTAACTCCCTCCATATAAAAAAAAATCTCAAAGTAATTAAGAGGAAAAAGAAACAGAAGCAGTGATTCAAACACAACTTTTTCCCCTGCACAAACCCATTTTGTCCTCCTGTGCAGGGCTGGACTTCCAACCCAATGACTCAGAGCTGCAGCAAACTCCACTCAGTCCTCTTTGAGCCCTAGGAAGTTCCTTCTGCCTTTGCGACCTGCTCTACCCTTCCATCCTTCCCGCTGCCTGCTTTCTCTTCCCTGCAGCCATGCGACCTGCTCTCTGCAGCTTCTCAACCCTTTTCTGCATGAGTTGCTGCATGAGCACTGCTGCTACTGGACCTGCCACATCATGCACCTTCGCAAACTCTCCCTCTGAGCTGGCTCAGTAGTTTCCCAAGGGAAGAAGAAGTCTTCTTCTCCCTCCAGGGTCCCACTTCACTCAAGTCTCTTAAAGGAAAACAATTAAATTCTGATCAAATACATAAACCAAACACTGAACAGCAAGCAAGAAATGGCCTGTGACTTGTCCCCAGTCATCAGACTTTGATACTGAAATTAAAGGGTTTTAAGACTGGGAAACACAGTCCTCACTGCAAGGTTCTCACGTTTTGCAGAAAAAAACAAAGAGAGAAGTTGGATGGAGTTTCTCAAAGGAAACCCAAGGAGCAGGGAGTTAAAAATGAAACAAGATTTAAGCACCTAACTGCTTAGCTTCTACAAAACCCACAACCATAACATAACTTAGCATCATGTAATATATATCTTCAAAACAGCTCTAGATCCACCTTCCCTTTTCTGAAAGAAAAGCTCCAAACCCACATAAAACTAAATATATTAGCACCCAGAGTACATATTTCTCGGCATATATGTTTATTTTGAGAAATTTAATTCTGACTAACTTAAATGACTTAAGATCAGAGAGGCCTATAGTTCAATTGGAATAAGAGCCTTTGGAACGTACTTAAGATCAGAAAAGAACCTTCCGCTCTAACTACCAACAGAGAAGCCAAAAATCAGCTGCAACAGGAAACCGCTCCTGTACGACATCTGTTCAGGCATTTATGTGGCATGAGCTCACTTCCTACTCTACAGGTGTTCCACATAACAAAGCTCACTGGACATGATGCTTTTATCAACACTAGCAAAGATGTAAAGGATCGACCAGGCCATGCTCAAATGACCACACCACGAGCATGGTGTGAACTTGCGGGTTGGTGCCTTGTTTTAATTGCACCCAAGTTAAATGTAAAAAGGCTGACAAGCTGTTTACACACAGGTGAAGGATGCGAAGATCCTAACATGTAAAATCTTCACAATTTAGAATACAGATGGATTTCCTGTCTGGAAAACGTCATCTGAGAACCATAGAGCCAATACTCACTTTCCTAAGTGAGTAATTAAAGGGGGGGTTACAAGAAAGATGAGGACATACGTTCCTAAGCATACTCCTTTCCTTAGCAAATCTTAATTCCAGGGCAATAAAATCCCTCAAAACTAGCAATCAATTGACTGATCCTCTGCAATAGGATGCAGTAGATTCACACATGCCCCTTGTCACATGCCCCTTTTTTGAGTGGTATTTGACCACTCGTTGCACCTAAGCCTAAAGCAAACATATAGGCCACCTTTGCTTTTCGCGTCATGCATCCAGCATAAGAAAAAAAGACCCCCTTGACACCATGGCTGTACAAACATACAAAAGATCACTGTTTACAAAGGACAAGGGCATCCATGCTAATCAATCTACTTATCTAGGTATCCATAGGTAGTGGTATAGAGTACACTAAAGCAAAGTTCAAAAGCTTAGAAGTAAAATAGCTATGAAGAAAGACAGCATATAATTTTTTAAAATTATTTTTACAATACAGTATTGTCTAATTTTACAGTTTTTGAAGAGTAGTGATGGGTATATAAGCTACTGAAGGAAGGAAATAACTTCCGGTGCTCAAAAAAAACCCCACTATAGCTAATTTTGTTTAAAAAACCCAAACCCAACCAATTATCAAAATACGTAAGCCAAAACTGACCTTCAGTGGATTATTATGGATACTAAATTTAGGATTCCTCCTCTCTGATTCTAAAACACTGTAATCATCTCCACTTTTGAAAATAAGCTTTACTTAGATTTTAAGGAATTACAGTCTTGACGTACCATGATAGATATCCTGTAGAGAGCCACCTCCACAAAACTCCATGCAAATCCATAGCTTGTCTCGTCTAAAAAGTGAACAAAACCATTCATTAGCTGTCAGATTTGAAAACAGCACCTATAAAAGATAACTCAGAGGACTCAAACATTATAAAGCACAACATATCAAGCAAAGAACAAGGCAAATAATGAGTATGATTTAATCTTTATGTGATACTTCACTGGCAAAATAGCAACTAATGAAGTACCCAAAATATTCCAGGATTTATTGGAGTAACGAAAACAGTATAAGTGAAACATGCACACTGATTTTTGTTCAAGATCTACTATGAAAATGAAATCTATTTTTACTGAGAGTAGAGAGAAAACAGATACGGGTCCTTGTTTCTTCCTCATTTTTACTTCTTCACTTTTTGCGGAGCAGAATTAACACAAACAAAAAAATCAAGAAACGAATCCAAACCAGAAAGACCTAGGGATATCTCTGAACCCAATTTCTTTCACAACAAATGGAGTGAAACTCTAGTCCTTCAGTCAGAGCTAGGCAGAGTGGAGCCTGTGCTGTAAGTGCCTTCTCAGATGAAATCTCTTCCCTCAAAAATACTTATGGGTGTACTTATGGGCTCAGAGGCAAGTTCTTTAGATTCCTCTTACTAAGGGAATCGATTCAGTTTGACTCACTATACCTCCATAAAAGATGCTTTCAAAGAAAAGACAATGGGCTGATGGATTCAAAGGTATTTTCTATTATGGCCACTAAATTCTATTTTCACTAGTGAGACAGATGTACCACATGTGGCCACAGAAATGCATTCTGGAGAGCAGAAAATCTGGGACTTGCCTAGTCATTTGTGGCCATCAAAACATGTAAGAAAGAAAAATCGTATACCTTAGGGCAGTCTGGGACAACCAAAGGAAAGACTGATGATTGTTCTGCAGCTTGCCCATGACTCCTAGTCTTGGGTTTCTTGCATTCATAAGGCTCTGTTAGAATAGCTGAGACACTCCTGTGGGCAATGACAACATCCGTGGAAGTGTTTTGCAAAGCAATGGTGAAAGTGCCGAGCTTATCCCCTGAGCTGCAAATTGCAAGTATTTCTCACCAGCAGGTAACAGCTAGAATAGCTGCTGTTTCAAGGAAGACCTGTCTTTCTTGGATCTCCTCCCCTTTTATGTCCATAGTCTACGTGGTCCTCAAAGCGACACCCCAGTTGCTTCCTCTCATGGTGGGAAAGGTACTGTTCATGCATTACAGAGGTTTTAAGCAACAGAAGTCCCTGGCTGTTAACTCCATACATTTCTAGGGGTTAATTAAAGCATTGCTTGAAAAAATATGAAGGCTTTCCACTGAAATAACTGATCAAACTCAGACACAGAAACAACATGACTATGTGTGAAAGAAAACAGAGGCAGCAATGGCAGCAGGGGAACACGAGTGAGAAAGCAGCACCAAAGAGACAGACATCTGCAAGTCCCTTGTTTGCTGCCCACAACAATGCAGCGCTCAGATGAGGACACTTTTGGAGGCATTGGGCTCACGAAAACCACTGTGTCCCACGTGGCTGCATCCTGCTTTACGCCAACAGCAGCAGCAGCATGGAAGTGGGAAAAAGCCAGGACAACCCCAGCAGCCTTAGGACAGCAGCAAGAGCGCCCACAAAGTAAGAGACATGAAGTAGATCTAAGTGCTGTAAACTCACACCTTCACTTACTGGGCATTAACTTCCCAGTGTGGAAAAGCCCCACAGAAAAGGAAGGAAACATAAGAGGATCAAAAGAGGAGACTGCATTTCTAATTTTCTATCTAGTCTTTTCTTACTGTGCCTAAGTGCTTTGGGACAGGCGGAGAACCATGTAATCAACAGCGTCAGGGTACACAGTTGTACTCCGTGTCTACAGAGCACACGGCAAGCACAGCAAACAAAACAGAGACAGGATCAGCGGTACCATTTAGTGTCTGCAACTTAACACCTAGGCTAACGGCAAGGCAGAAATTTGACCGACTGAAAAATCCATACATAAACAGAAGAAAAACACAGGGACCAATATGCTGATGAGTGCCAAGTATAGGATGATGGTATTTTTCTTCTTGCTCTTAGCACTGACAGATACTTGGGAAACAACAGGTCAGACAATGAGAAGCCTTAAAGACAGGCATTGGATTGCCCAGACAAAAGAGAAGCACTACACCAAAGGAAGTGGAGGGGACCAAGCAAGAGCACAAGACAGTGCCAAAATATATAGTATATTTGACAAAATTTAATTCTGAGTCTTCAAAGGTGAATTTTGATACCACGAGACAAGAGGAAAACTGCTTTCTTAAAGAAAAGGCATCACCATCCTGAATACAGCATCATAACAAAAGGAACCATTTAAATCTAAAAATTTTAGAGAAAGTTGAATGCAACAGTATTTGTTCAGTCTGTTTTTACATGAGATCTTAAAAAGTCATTAGAAACAGCCTTTTATTAGTTATACTAAGCAATGTGTTCCCACTGCGACTAGTTAAAAGAAGCAGCTGTTAAGACAACTGGATACATTTGTCAGTGCTTCCAGAATGCAAATAATCTCACCTCCAGAAACAAACACAAATGGAACCCTCACATTCTGGTCAGAAGTTCATATGATAGAAAAACAGCTCAGGGTAGCTTCGACAGCACTGCAGAGCCCCAGGCCCTCCCTTCTAACATTCCTCATTTACTTCTTCTAAATTTGTCTTCTGAAAAGGTTTATAACAATGACTTTCAGGTTTGTGGAGCATGCCAGACAATGTCACACATCAAGAAAAATGTTAACACAACTTCCTTCCAAGTACTGCAGACAGGTACAAATGAAGTCATCACTGGCAGCGGAGGACATTTTAAAGTACAATAATGTCTTCTCTTCCTAAACAAAGGCAGGCTTTGAGGTTGGGAGGAAGATGATGGAGGTGCTGCAGGAGAGCAGGACACTACGTGGTCCCAGCCACATGACTTTCAGAATACGCAACATCCGTTTAAGAAGTCATCCTAACACGGAGCTTCCAAACACTGCCTTTAGAGATCACAGCATCCCTTGCCAACTTCACCACCTGACAATCTGTAGCCTAGTAACTCCACAAATTCTAAAAAAAAAAAAAAAAAAAATAAGCTGACTTTGAGGTACAAAGCAATATTAAGAAGTGATTGTTCATGCAAAAGAAAAAGCCTGCCAGGACTGCACAGAATGGAAGTAACGCACAATTTAAGTTAACCTTCAAATTAAGTTTAAACATTCAGAACTGAAGTGCAGACACTCCTAGTTTGGAATACCAAGTCCCTGCATGTACACACGCTCTATCTGTGTGCACACCCACACAAGATTGTGCATAACGCAGCTCACAGACCAGCTCGGCATTAAAAGAACATTCAGGCTGCCAAGACAAGCACCCTTCGAGGCACGGGATGCCAGAACAGCATGACTTGTTGATTTTATCTTCAGACTTTGACCCCCTTCTGCACATGTATACATGATAATGCAAGTAGTACACAATCGTCACTCCCATCCTCCCTCACTGTGGCATGCAGATGGTGTTCATCTCATGGGCCAGTCAACGGCTTGCTCTCCTCCTCCTTCTCACACTTTCAGTGCATTTCTACCTCATCTTATTCTGAAAAGACATTTGCTCTTGCAAACTTCCTTCTTGCTCCATACTAAACCATGTCTGTGAAGTACTAACGTAACCAGGTTTTGCACTACAGACCTTTGAAATTACTGTAAAGCGACCATAATTCAAAAGACGGATTCTGTTCAAGAGAATTGCATCTCTCTGCGTGCAATACTTTCACTTAGGAGACAAGAGCTAACAAGATGCTCATAATGAGAAAGAAGCAATGAACCCCACCAGTGATAAAACACGGTTTCAGTGAGCATCCAGGGCTATTCAGGACACTGAATACAAGAGGCAGAGAGAAGAATCATAGAATGGTTTAGGTTGGAAGGGACCTTAAAGGGACCTTAAAGGTTCCAACCCCCCTGCCCTGGGCAGGGACACCTCCCACCAGCCCAGGTTGCTCCAAGCCCCGTCCAACCTGGCCTTGAACACCTCCAGGGATGGGGCAGCCACAGCTTCTCGGGGCAACCTGCACCAGGGGCTCACCACCCTCACAGTGAAAAATTGCTTCCTAATATCTAATCTAAATCTCCCCCCTTCCAGTTTGAAGCCATTACCCCTCATCCTGTCACTCCATGCCCTTGTAAAAGGTCCCCCTCCAGCGTTCTTGTAGGTGCCCTTCAGATACTCCTCAGGACAGCATTAGTCAGCTGAGCTTCTGCGTGACACCCCTCCTTCTCCTCCAGCATTTTTTGCCAGCACTTTCTCTCTTCCCCAACACTGCCTCCGAGTTCTGGCACACTCAACTTGTCCAATTTCAGTTTGCTCCAACTGTGCAGACGTTCAGCATCAAGGTCACTAAGAGCGCCACAAAGCACTCCATCCTTGCCAGTTCAACATCCTGTCACAGCTCACCGCAGAGCAAAACAAGGAACGCTCAACAGCCACGCAAGCCAGGGAGCACGTGTTAGCTCTTCTGTACTGCGGCAAACACGCACCAAACTAGACACTGCTGGTGAGAAAAGAAACAGTAACTGGGATTTCCCAAGCTCTAGCTGAGCTAGAGTGAAAGTAAAAGAAATGCAGTATTTCAGAAGATAACTTGGTCAAATTTGAAAGGATTTTTAAAAGGAAAAGATGCACTCCAAATACAAGAGCCAAATTCTGGCACATATTCCTGCTTCAAAGATGATAATTTTTTCTTGGTACATGAAAGCCTTTCAAGATTTTCCACATGAAAATACCACCTGTATCTTCCTGTCCCTAACCGAAAAGCACTTGGCCTGTATTGCTGAAGAGCTTTTGGCTGCAGCAGACAGCCATCATGGAGAATTTCAGACGGAGCTGCTGAAGTCCAGTACACATATGAGTAACTCAGCTTGGCATCTTCCCGTTATGAATGGGGTCTGGGAACCTTCACAACACGCAGAGCTGCCATGTCCCACCTATACTGTCCCCATGCAGACAGAAGATAGGAAAATAACCTGAAAGGAATGAGAAGCCTCTGCCATAAAGAGCATCACGACTTTTCAGAGCCTTTTAACAGCTTTTTATTACATGGCATGATATGCCTAAAATTATGACATCAGATTCACAAAATCCAGCATTAAAAGGCCTAGTCCTTGAATATCAAGCAATTGCTATATTTAGCACAATCCATTTAGCATTTGTCAGGATGCATTAAAAAGAACTATAATAGCCAATGTTGTTAGAAACTAGCCAGCCATTTTCTCAATGCTGAGACTTTGTATGGAGTAAGAGTTTACTGTACTTTTAACAAGTAAGCATAATACCTTACAAGAGGAATTATGCAAAAGAATAATGAGACAGAACAATTTACATTAAGAGTCTTAAACAACCCCACAGCTCAAGAGAGAAAAGCAAAGATAGAAGAGCTAAAATATCAATCATTTTGAGATTTCAAAACAAATCCAAAACACAAATCACCAGTGGGTTTTTTAAAGGCTGCACAGTTTACACTCTTACGTACTTCAATAGCAAATTGTCCTTTAAGCTTAACATAACACTACTACTCTTAAGCAAGGGAAAAAAAACACAACAATTTTTTCCTCCTTCTTTCCCCATAACATTCAATTTTGAGTTATCAGACAATTTTACATGCCAACACCAGTTAAGTCAGACGATTTCTGAGAACTCTATCTGTATTATGCAATATTTATACTTCCCAAAGTTTTGCAAATTTAAAAGACATTTTACTGAAACAGATTTAAAAGATACTATATACACAGACTCTTCCTTCATACTTGTCATACTTCTGCTTAATTTTCCATTTATGTATTAAATTCAAAGCTTTTAAACAACAACTCATTTCCAAGGAAACATGACAACATGCTCACTGAAAGATTTTCCTAAGAGAAAGATTACTGATAGAGAGACACTGTAGTAAACGCAACACATTTCAACATAAATGAAAAAAAAAATAATATACAAGTGGATAATACTTCTTTGTTAAATTATGTTTTGCCTAAGTCATGTTATAGACCTGTCCTTTACAAGGAGATAGAGAGGCATTTTGAAGTGAGCAAAAGAAACAAACTGTACCTGAGATAGCTGCCAAAATAAGCAACAATGTTTGGATGTTTACAGTCTTTCATCATTATGATTTCCTGCTGCACAACAGCAAAATCTTCTCCTGAAAAGCAAAATTAATATTTTCGTTGGCCTGGTTCATAATCACATCCCAAGCAGACTTTCCATTCGTGTTTATAACATAAACATTTTGCGTAATTAAAACTAATTATCTGCCAGTTTCACAGACGTATAAAGCACCTGTAAATCAGTATTTACTAGCAAGGGCCTAGCAACAAGTTACTATATTCTTAAGGAGTTTGATTCTAGGTCAGATGGACACATTTGCTATCTGACACCTCTTATGATACTGGCCAGAGCTCTTTCTACAGCCTTTATTTTTCTGAAGACCCCGCTGTGTCCATCTGCATATGCCCTCCCAAGAGCCCAGGTTCTTAAAAACATGACAAAAGTTTGCTATTTTTGGCCACATGTCCAACAAACATTAGATTGTCTTCCTGAGCAAAAAACATTCAACAGTAAGCTGCTGCTGCAAGTTTTCAGTCAACTCAGTAAGCACGTACATTTATGAACCATGTGTAACGGGTCCAGATAAAACACTGACATAGATGTGGCATTTATCCGAGCCTTACTATTTGGTACCTTGGTTGTACTTCTTCTTCTATAAAAACATCATACCAGGTGAAAATTTTGTTTTGGGGATGTTGTATAGGCGAGTTAAATAGAGAAAATTATAGCTGGTCTGGTATGTTATTGCCAAAGAAGTTCTTCTGAAGTTGGTTTAGTTATTAGACATAGACAGTTCACCAAAACCAACTCGTTCTTACTAACTTCAAGGACTTCATAGGTGAAACAAGCCTGAAGGCCTAAAATAACCATTTCACTTCACAAATAACTTAAGAGACTCTATAAGCAAATTGAAAAACGAGGAAAACTCAAAGTATGTCAAAATTCTGCTTTCAGCATACTGCTGTAGCACACTGCAGCATAACTGAAAAGAGCTTTGAAACCAGGAGCCAAAGCTATTGTCTAAAAAAGTTGATTATAGACACTAAGCTCATATTTCTCAACTTTCACAACCCAAAAATCACTTCTCAAATATAGCCATTAATAAATTTCAAATGTAACACAACAAATTCCAACAGAACTGGCCAAGCTATTACCTAAGAAAATGTGTTTTAAGTTTCTCCCAATGCATCAACATACTGGGGACCCATCCCTTTGGTACTTTTTAATGAGAAATCTGATATTCACCTGTATTTTATTTAACTGAAGGCAAATTTCAAACCACAAGCTGCAAATTAACACAACAGACTGATTGCTCTCTGTGCTGTATTGCCCATGGTTTGCTGTATCCTAGCTAGACTTTTAAACATGCCAACGCTGAAGAGCAAACAAGAAATTATTTTCACATATGGACAGGTATTTCTGTGAAAGGACGCAATTCCTCCAGTATTTGACTGGTGTTTTCATTGCATCCAGAATATTAAATTAGCATCAGCTTTAGAGTGTCTAAACATTATTACTCAGTCTTCACACTCTCCCCCAATCTGGAAAACTTGCAAAGAAAGCCGGCGCCACACTTCTGGAACGTGGACACTGCCCGCCTGAAGGCGAGTCAAGCCACTACCGCAACTGGAAGTGCCAACTCCAGAGAGAAACAACTCACTGAATGAATGGAGGGCAGCTAGAGCACATTTGTTGTGAACCACTCAAGTATCCCGAGGCTGCCAAAAATACTTGATTCAGCTGCACGATGTTGTTTGCCCCATCAGCATGGCATGGCATGAGTGTTTACCCCATGAGTGAGTTACCCCAGCTGCAGCGCATCCCCAGGCTCTGACCACGGCTTAGAGACCGCACACAGCACCATTCTCCGAGTCCTGCTCAGCACAACCCACACAACGCTCTTTTCAACTGAGTTCCTTCCTACTTTGGAGAGTGGAACTAGCCAAGTAAAAAGTCGCATTATCTTAAAGGTTGACATCATTTGAGTCTGCTGAGTCCTGTGGTTTTTCTCCCCACTACACAAGTCTCCTTCCCCACTTTATCTTTACGTTTCCATAGGTTCGTCTTACCTGGACCGGTAACCCATATCAGGCACAGCCAAGTACTCCAGCAATGGGAACTGACAGAACTAGACAAGCTCATCTGAGACCACAGCTTTCAGTGTGAATAGAAGTGTGATGAACATACACTTTTGGAACTATATAGTAACATGCTGTCCTGTCTTGAATTTTTAACGTGCATGCATTATATAAACACAACATTTCTAATCACTTCCAGAACTGTAAGAGGAAAAAATGGAAGAAAGCAAAAACTTCTTTCCCTTCTTGCCTGCATAGACCTTAAGGATTAAACCAGGTAGTAGTTAAGGTATTTCCCCACCCCCAACAGTCACAAGTTAAACAAAAAGTCTGGACATTTTACTTCCCAGATTGCTGTACTCTTGTTTAACAAGCCTAGCCATATTAACAGAACAGCCCTCGCAAGCTGATAACTGATCTGTAGGGCATCCGCATTTTGTGAAATCACAACATAGGCACAGTTCAAGCATAAATCTAGCACACAGTGAAGACCTAATCAGTCTCCAAGAGATTTTCAGGAAATACACTCAATTCCTGGATACTAACGCTCACTTTTTATTACACCCTCCTTTTTATTTCTCCCTCTACACTCTCTCCAGGTGAGTTCTTTTCTGCCTTGCTGGCTTCCTCATTTCTTTTATTCTATACAGTTTTTTGTATCACATAGTTTGAAAACATAGTATTTAAGACAAAAATGAACAACTCTAATTGAAATTTTAACCAGCTTTCTTTTAACACTTCTCTAGTTACCTCTTTTCCCCCTCACATTTTGCTTGTCATACTCTTTATTTTTTAGAATGTGTATTTTGTCCTACACTAAAAGGTAACAATTATCCTTTCTTTCAGTAAGCAGACTCAATTGATTTTGTACAACTGTACCTTAAGAATGAAAATATTTAGTTTCTGTGGCCTATTTCAGTTAAGAATCACTTACCTGGTTCTAGTTTTATTACTTTAATTGCTGCTAGCTCACCCGTGTTGACATTTCGAGCCTACAAGAAAAAAAAAAAAAAAGAAAATTTAGAGAGCAGAACACAGCAACCAGCTCTGCATTCTCAACTTGACATTCTCTGACAACACAGAGTCAAAGAGCAACAGAGATACACAAGGGTCTAAAACAGTGAAACCACAACATCTTGTATATTTACATTTCATGGAAGGTTAGAATTTTTTTTTTCCAAATACAGCATACATTTATTTTTTTACTGGGCTTACAGCATATATTTTCATTAGGTAAGCACCATTACTGAGTTCTGTTATATCCAAAAGACTTATTTAAAATAATCCATGCCTGTGCTTAATGACAGTGAACCAAACAGTAGGAATTCTGTAGCTAGAATGCTCTTCTCCTGTACAAGTTTGTCGTAACCACTCTTCCAACAAAACTTCTCATCCTGGATCTATTTTCTAACAAAGCAAGAACCTATCTAAAGAAACCACAACAAAACCAAACCCCAGACATCACTAGGCAGCTAATTTGCACTGAGATCTGAAGCTTTATATATGCTCAGGAAACGCTGCACTGCTCCACAACAGTCCTAACTTATGCAAGTCCTCAACCATGCTGTACTTCCACATTAAAAACCATAAACAAACTTGCCGCTGAGATCCTGACTGCAAAGCAGTTTTAACATACGCAGATCTCGCAAGCAGGGCCCAGGGAGCATCACAGGCTGCACCCTACAGCATATCTGACTGCCGCCAAGCCTCCCATGAGAGCAATGCAGCGCTCCCTGCTCATTTCACTACATGCCCCTTGGTCCTTACTCTCCGCCAGCAACAGCATCCTCCCCTTTCTGCAGGCGTGCGAAGAAAACAAGCCACCAACAAAGGAGTAAGAAAGCATTCCCCTCGTATATGCTCTGTGGCCAATTTCAGCAGCAATTACTCAGGAGCCTAACTGCATTCTGTATGGGACCCTCTCATGTTAAAGCCTACGTTCTACAGAGCAACCAAAGAAGCTAAATTTTTTAAAAGCCACTAAGAAGCAACATAAATGATGATAATAATGATTTCTCCTCTAGAACTGTTGCATTTGACTACTAACGGAAAACCAAGAGGCCATTGACATGACATTTCATGACTTGAAAACCAAGTAGCCACAAATACAGGTTGGGAAGAGAATGTATTGAGAGCAGCCCTGAGGAGAAGGACTTTGGGGTGTTGGTGGATGAGAAGCTCAACATGAGCCAGCAGTGTGCGCTGGCAGCCCAGAAAGCCACCCCCATCCTGGGCTGCATCCCCAGCAGGGTGGCCAGCAGGGCGAGGGGGGGATTGTGCCCCTCTGCTCCGCTCTGGGGAGACCCCACCTGGAATATTGCATCTAGCTCCAGAGCCCTCAACATCTGCAACTCACACAAGAAGAGGAATCCACCGCAGTCTTTCAGTAGGTGGTTGGAGCACAGGAGCTGAGCTCCATCACAGCATGCAAAGTCGGCATCAGTGTGCTACTGCAGTGGATACTTGCCACCTAGCCCTGTACTAATCAGTCATCCTACGCTAATCAGTTCTCATCACCCAAAAAGCTTCCAGTGAGATTTTTTCAGCTATGAAAAGCTCTGCCTCAAAATCTGGAGTGTCTCAGGGGGGCAGAGTTGGCTTTAAGGAGACTGTGATTGTCTCTTTGTTCAAGGCTGATGGAGAGTAACAATGGGCCTAAGGTTTCTTATCTTCATCTCCTGCAAGTGTCCACCACCAGCAGCAGCCGTGCAGTGGCACAAAGAGCATGAAAGGCTGCACTTGCAGATCCAGAAGAGTGGGTGAGGACTGGGGACAACACCCAGCAGAAGTCTGTGCTTCCTGGGAGCAAAATATTAATGCTCCCTTCCAACAAGAGATGGACCCAGGCAGAGAAGCTGTTGATGCCCCATCCCTGGAGGTGTTCAAGGCCAGGCTGGATGGGTCTTTCAGCAACCTGGGCTGGTGGGAGGTGTCCCTGCCCATGGCAGTGGGGTTGGAACTCCATGGTCTTTAAGGTCCCTTCCAACCTCAACCATTCTGTGATTTACCCAGTGCTTTTAGGACACTTCTGAGCCCCTGCATCCAGCTATGGGGTGAGGGCAGCAAAGCTACATCCAGCATTGGAGCAGTCGCTCCTGAAGGATGGTCAGCTACAGCCTCTCCTCTTCCCAGGAGAGTCCTGGTACCCAGATCTGCACTGCACTGGATCACCCCTGCACTGAATGCCACGATGGCTCTACTCCCTGCACAGGGCACAGAAGGTGAGATCAGTCCTGCTCTGGCCTTTCCCCTCATCCACTTTCAAATCAAAAAAGTCCAGAATTAGAGAACTTAAAGATGAAGATAGCCCCTGTAAAGGTGGGCACCTAACAGTCTCATTTAAGTCACTTTAGTAGCTCAAGGGCTCACACCTTTAATTGACCGGCCCTGAGACTCACCCAACACTGTAAAGTATTCATTGTTAACATGGCAGCTTGAGAGCTGGTTGTGGAACCACAAATGGAGCGAAACAAAACCATAAGACTATAAAAAATAGCCAGCAATAAAGTCTGGAAATAAATGCTGTGTGTATTTCTGGGTTTAGAGGTCTACCCAGGTTGTTGCTGGCACAGCCATTCTCAAACGTCCCACTGTTCCTTAGTGTGGCAATGCTTTTCTGCAATGCTGGGAATACTGGCGTTTACAAATAATTTCCAGCCAGATGGTTATGGATAGATCCCGAGACCAGTGGGAAACCTATAAAAGTCAAGCAGTAGTCCAAAACTGACAGACTGCAGAAAAAGCAGGTAAATTTTCTCTGGCAGCCTTCCCTGTAAGTCATTATTTGCCCATCCCACTGATGGCAGCAGTGTCTCCACTCATCACTGGATGGTGGAACAAAGACATTAACAACAGCAAAACTAGGACTTCCTTTTATCCGAACCAGAGAACGAAGGCAACGCAAGAGAAAGTGGCACCACTGAAGCAAAAGCTAGGATTTTTATTCCTTTCTTTTGAGAACAGGATGCTGAAGAACAAACATGTCTCTTCACCTTCAGCTTAGGCATTGCTTCCTTTCTTCACCACCAGCAGTAGAGGGACTCTTTGGCCAGCTGGTCATTCTCTGGACCAGTATATGCCTGGGCTCATGACAGCCAGAAAGGAGGAACAAAATCTGATCTAATGAGGTCAACAACACCTTCAGGAACAGCAGACTACCAACTGCTTACGGGCATGATTTGCTACTCAAGAAAACATGACTTGAAGATGACAATCTGAATAAGTTAACACTTTGCTTCCTATTTCATTTGGGTTATTAGTATTGAAGGTGTTGTCACAAGTAAGAATATGAATTGCCTTTGTTAATCTGAGTATATATTTAAAATAAATAAAAAAAAAGAGATTATTCTGACTGCAGTGACGCAAGGGTTCCTTGCAAAGGATGAGGATTAGATACCCCAGACAGGTTTTACTAGATCTCATCAAATACATTTGAAATCATCTGTTGTGAAACAATTCCTTGCCCAAGCTCACAGGAATGAGAGGCTGAGAAAGAACTGAAGTACAGTATGCTTCTCAACACATGTTGGAGCTGGCTCCAACTGTTGCTTTGAGGGTGCTCGTGTACATGCCATACAATACCTCAGTGTGTTGAGGACACTGCCTTATGCTTTCATTTAGCATAATCACACTAAAGTTGCCGATTACTTATGGGTTTTGAGATCGGAGCACCAATAAGGAGTGGGTGGCTGAAGAATAATTACAAACAAGTATTTTTGAGTTGGCAAATGCAACCAAAAATTTCAAAGAGGCTCACGTAAGAAAACGCACATTCGTTTTTTGTTTCCACTTGCCCCATAAGTGCTCGAACTCCCAGTCTTTCTGATGATGAGGTTACCAGCAATAGCCGAGAGCTCTTCCTCCCACCCCGGTTTCCATGAGCAAGGGCCTGCAACTAACTCCTTCACATGCAGATTTCACTGTGTCAATGGGAACGCATTACACAGGTTTTCCAGAAGCAAAGATCAGCCTACAACACCTGCAGCTACACACTGTCACTTTACTAAAGGTGTACAGCATTTATACAGTGTCTGCTCTGGAAAACCATGTAACAATCCTCATTCTACCAGTGGCTAAAAGAACGATACTCTTCCCGAGATCTAGATTGCATATCTGGGGAGGAGTTTAAAAAAATCCACCAACCGCTAAGTCAAGCTGGAGAAGCACTACCTAATTAAACAGGAAATAACTGCTGCTGTCTCTGCGACAACAGCAGGATATCAGATCAAAATGTTATATAAAAAACTGCCACCAACTAGAAATAAAAGCTAGAAAAATCCAGGTTTTGTTGTTATTCCATCGTACAAAAATTCATTAACCAAAGTGCCTCACATCTGGAATGACCCTGTTACTCTAAAACAGGGAAGGAAAGAGCAACAGAGTGGGGCAGTGCTCAGATGGGGTGTATGTGGGAAACACCAGCCAGGCAAAAGATGTGCACGGTGTATGTCTGAAAAGAAAAGGAAGGGAAAGAAGAAAAGGAGGAGGAGGTCTAGTATTTAGCACTGCCCACAATATTTGTCACAACGGCAGATTAATGAGAGAACTGTGCAGCTGAATCAGTATAGACATAAAATCCAAGGTCCAAGGAGGTAAATCTCTTGCCAAGTTTATATTTGTCCTTCAAATGGAAGCTGGTAATATAAAGTGTAGAACGCTGCAACAAAAACTAGGCCAAAAAGCAAAGTCTAAGACAGTGACAACAGGGGCGCTTCTGTTTTTGACTACTTCCTTCATGAATTGTCGGACAAAATGCAGGCAAGTGATCTTTTTTCAGTGGCGTCCAGTGACGGGACAAGAGGTAACGGGCACAAGTTTGAACATAGGAAGTTCCATCTTAACATGAGGAGGAACTTTCCTGTGAGGGTGGCAGAGCAGTGGCACAGGCTGCCCAGAGAGGTGGGGGAGTCTCCCA